TTTGGAACGACTTCTGACAAAAGCAAGAGAAGAAAGCGCCAAAGCAGGACTGCATCTGAACATCAAGAAGACAAATACCTTGGCTAAAGAAGAAATATAGGACTTTAACACAGACAATGAAGGCATTAATATGGTTAAATGTTGTGCTTATCTCAGTGTAGTCATCAGTTCAAATAGAGACTGTAGTTAAGAAATCAAGAGGAGGCTGAGACTCGGAAGAGCAGCAGTGGAAGAATTAAGAAAAATCACCAAGAGCAAAGGTGTGTTATTAGAGACCTAGGCTAAGACCACCCACACCCTGGCATTCCTAACCACTGTGCACAGATGGGGAAGTTGGACAGTGAAGAGGGCTGATAGGAAACAATCGATTCATTTGAAATAATGGTGTCGGAACAGAACGTGACTAATACCTTGAATGGCCAGAAGATGAACACGCAGGTCCTAGAACAAAGTAAGCCTGAAACACCACTAGAGGCAAAAAAACAACAAAACGAAAGCCGTTCTACTCCGCGCTCACTGTGAGAAGGCAAGGCTCCTTGGAGATGGCAATAACGCTGGGAAAGCCAGAAAGCGGCAGGAAAGGCGGAAGACCAAATGAGAGACGGGCTGACCCCACACAGGGAGCCACAGGCAGGTCCACCGGAGCCGAGCAGGGCTGCCGAGGCCAGGACCTGTGGACATCACCCACTCACGGAGCTGCCAGGAGCGGGAGCCAATGAAACGGCACGGAGCATACACACCACGATGATATTTAATGGCCTAAGAGAAACTGTTCTTCTCAAATCTACCTTACCTCCCGCTTTATCTACATCATGAAGTGAAGACACCAGCTACCTTGCGGACAGAATGAGTTCATGATAAAATATTCTTGCAGACAGACCCGGATTTCAACACATGAGAAGTATTTTTATTACAACTGCTCAGAATATAACGAAGCTATTTCTTTATTAGACATGCATTACTTACTGATCTCTCAGCTGTATACAGGATGAAACACGATGAACTCTTGAGAGGAAGAGCTCCTTGAAAGGAAGAGTTCTTTATAAACCTAAAAAATAAAGCAACAAGAGCTCCATGAGTCCTGGCCGGGAAGCTCAATTGGTTAGACTCTTTTCCCTATACACTACGTCTGCAGGTTGCCCTCCCAGTCAGGGCACGTGCAAGAATCGACCGATGAATGTATAAGTGGAACAGCAAAGCGATATTTCTCTCTCCCTCTTCCTTTCTCTCTCTCTCTCAAATCAATAAAAACAAATTTTTAAAAAAGATAAAAAGAGTTTCATGATTGTGGCATAATGATTTACTTCGATTTTAATTATGCTGTTTAATTGCTATGTCTTTGACACTGTGAGTAGCAAAAGATAATATACTACATGATATTTTTTAAAGAAGAAACTTGTCATAATTTTAGAAGGCTTAAGCTTACGTAAAATAAACAGGAATAGGATAACAAAAAGATATAATAATAAAAGACAAAAGTAGTAATACACCAAAGTAATAATCAGGGGTTGAAATATGCAGTTTATCAACTTCCGGCCAAGATGGAGGCTTAAATAGATACACTCTGCTTCCTCACACAACCAAGAGGAGGACAACAACAAATTTAAAAGCAAAAAACGACCAGAACTGCCAGAAAACCCAACTGTATGGAAGTCTGACAACCAAGAAGTCAAAGAAGAAATCTTCATTCAGACCCGTAGGAAGGGTGGGGAGGACCCGCAGCAAGGCAGCGGGCTGGAGGACCAGGATGGCGGGCGGGGGGCCACATTCATGTGCAAATGAAGCAGGGGGAGCAACTGAGGAGTGAGAGGGTTCCAGAGCAGAGAAATAAAGCCTCAAAACCTCTGGCTGTAAAAACTGTGGGGGCTGCGGCGGCAGTGGGAGAAACTTCCAGCCTCACAGGAGTTTGTTGGAGAGATCCACAGGGTCCTAGAACATACACAAGCCCACTCACCCGGGAATCAGCACCAGAAGGGCCCGACTTGCTTGTGGGGGCGGGGGGAAGTGACTGAAAGCCAGCCGAGAGTGGAGCAAGAGGCGTTGTTTGTTCTTGGACTCCACCCCCACAGAGAGCACCACAACAAAGCCAGGAGGGTTGTCCCAACACGGTGAATACCTAAGGCTCCGCCCCTTACAACATAACAGGTGCACCGAGACAAAGAAATATGGGTCCAATGAAAGTACAGAAAAAAATAAAAAAAACTCCAGAAAAAGCCCTGGCTGGTGTGGCTCAGTGGATTGAGTGCAGGACTGTGAACCAAGGCGTTGCTGATTGATTCCCAGTCTAGGGCACATGCGTGGGTTGCAGGCCAGGTCCCCAGTAGGGAGCACTCGAGATGCAACTACACACTGATGTTTCTCTCCTTCTCTCTTTCTTCCTCCCTTCCCCTTTCCAAAAATAAATAAATAAAATCTTAAAGAAAAAAAAAAAGCCTCCAGAAAAAGAACTAAAGGAGGAGGAGATAGCCAACCTATAAGATGCAGAGTTCAAAACACTGGCAATCAGGATACTCACAGAAATTATTGAGTACAGATGCAAAATAGAGGAAGTGAAAGCTATGCAAAGTGAAATAAAGAAAAATATATGGGGAACCAACGGTGAAGGGAAGGAAACCAGGACTCAAATCAACGATTTGGAACGGAAGGAAGAAATAAACATTCAACCAATACAGAATGAAGAAACGAGGATTCAAAAAAAACAAGGAGAGGCCTAGGAACCTCTGGGACAACTTTAAACATTCCAACATCCAAATCATAGGATATGATTGCCAGAAGGAGAAGATGAGCAAGAAATTGAAATCTTATTTGAGATGCAAGCCACAAATGTATTTTAAAATGTCTTCACAGCCATGCTGAAATTTTACAGGTGAGGTTAATTTTAATATACTTTTGTTTAACCCAATATATCCAAAATATCATCTTCACATGTAATCGTTATTAAATTATTCATGAGATATTTTACAGTTTTTTGTACTGCATCTTTGAAATCCAGTGTGTATTTCCCATGGACATCACATCTCAATTTGATCTAACAACAATTTCAAGTGCTCAAGAGCTACATGTAGCTCCTGACTACTGAAACTGCGCAGGTCCGGACGCGGAAATCAACGCTTCAGAGTGCAGGGCGGAGTGTTCCGCCACTCCCACAGGGCTACTGCGCACCCCTCTATTTTTACATACATGTCTTAGGCTTGATTTTAATGGTATCACCAACCATTTAGTCTCCCAGGCTAAAAATTCTGGAGTCGCCCTCTTACCACCCAACTGGCTGCCGCAAGTTGAATCCTATTTGACATTTCAGAAATGTCTTTCTGACATCCTTTACTATCATACCTCAGTTGAATGAGTGCAATTTCCTCTCATCTAGTTTTCCTGTTCCAAGTTGATCCTCCATACAGCTGCTGTCCTAAAAAAAGAAAATAATAATAACCCAAAAAACAAATATACTCATCCCCCTTCCTCAGGCAAAGTATTCACTGGCTTCCTACTAACTACGGAATGAAATCTTCTCAAAACTCCTCAAATCTTTGCATCCCTGTTCTCCCTCCAGGAATAACCTTCTCTTGAGTTTAGTAAATTCTGTTTGACCCTTCGTGACCCAGCTCCATTTTTTACTACATAATATAGCTTTTTTGGTGTCCTTGGGCAGTACTTTATTCTCACCCAGCACAAACTGGGCACAAAGAACACTGGTTGAATGGGTGTTGAATGCACAGGTGAAGAATAAATGGGAGCTCACCTTTGCATCGTCAATACCGAGCCCAGCACCCAAAGCAACATACGTGTGTGCTGGGGGAAGGAATGAACGTTAACCGTATCCTAAGTTCCTTCTGAGCAGTGACCCTGACCCATACTACAATTCTCCATCACAATTATCTATCATAGTTACTTGTTCTCTCATTAATGACCCTGAATGTCGATGACAATTAAGGGAAATTCTGCAAAATGCCAGGGAAAAGGAAGGGGTCTTGGGTTGGCCTCTGAGCTCGGAGAGCCGTGTCTCTTCCGGGTCAGTTCCGCAAAGGCAGTGATTTTCTTAACATGATCGAAGGGGTTGCAAAACAAAACAAAACAAAAACAAAAAAACTATGAGATGGGCAATTGATAATGCAGGTTCACCGGGCCATGGGAGACCAGACTTGCCGGGCTTATGGCTAGTCTGACCTCTTGTTTACTGGAGTCTGAAATAGGTTGGCGGTGGCTGGGGAGCGGGAGATGGGGAGGGCCAAGACCATTTTAAGTAAAAGAGACGCCTACTTTCTTCCCAATACCTTCCTGGTCTCTCCACCCGAGACGACGGATAAACCTGGAGGGAGGAGGCTAGAACAGTCTAGCCACGAGACTAAGGAGCCAGAGCTGGCGTAGGGTTAACCCCTCCGGCACCGCGAGCCCGGAAGGGCAGAGGGAAGCAGCAAAAAGGGAGGGAAAGAGAGCAAGAGAGTGAATCGTATGGACGGCCACACAAGACCGGGAGCTTGAGACCCACGGGGAAGTCACTTTTTCCGTCGCTGAGCACTTTTGCCAAGAAGGACCTGGGCAGTCGCAACCGAAACCCCGAGAGCACGTCCCAGCGGCGTCTGGGTGGGAGCTGGGGCCAGGCAGTCCCGGAGAGCCGAGGACGCCCCCTCCCCCAGCCAAAGGCTCGCTTCTTTCTTCCGCCCTCACTTGCCTCGTCAGTCCTCCCCCAACGCCGTCCACTGCCCTTCCCAACCCCTAGTCGAATCCAGGTTCAAGAGCGAGGAAAGCTGGCGCTCGCTCAGCAGCTGCCGCGATTATCAGCCAACAGAAGGTCCGCAATGGCGGCCGCCATTTTGAAACCGGAGACTGACCGCCGAGGCGGGGGGAACTCGGGGCGGCACCACCTCTGGGGGGGGATGGGATCGAATTTTTAGGAAGGAGACGGCCCTTACACCAAGTCTCATCAATGGAACCTAACTTTTATTTTTAAATAGCTTGTAATATTTTAAATATAACATAACTATGAGAATAGTCGAATACTAAAAGGGAAAAGAGGCATGGTGTTGAGGTGTCACCCCTGTCTTGGAGCGGGCGCGGCGAATGGTCGGTCCCAGGGCCCTGGCTTCCGCCGGAGCCGGAGGCTGGGCTCGCTGCTGTCCTTGGTCGTGGGGTCGTTTCTGGGACCGGGACCGCAGGTAGGTGTGGGGGTGCAAGGTGTTCGAGGCGCTGCGGGCCACTGCTCTGCAGGCGAGGACTGTGCACCCCTAGGAAAGCCCTGGACGTTGGAGTGTGTGTTGAGGGGGTGGTGTGGGCCTCCCCGGGCTGCAGAGCGAAGGAGACGGGAAAAGGACAGTGAAGTGGGGTTTTTTTTTCCCCCTGGTGGACCGCTCGACTCTGGTTCCCAATGTGGTGGTTGTTCGAAAGCGTACCCCGAGGCTGTCATAACTGGGTCAGGTATGAGAGATCCCGCGGTGACCGCCCCCGGCCGGCCCGGAAAGGAAAGCGGCAGGGACACCGTGCTGGGCTGCAGCTGCCAGGGAGCGTTTGAGATGCGACCCCGTGCCAGCGTCTGTCTTCCTCGTTCCGCACCACTGGAAGCTGACCTCGCCCTCGCTTCCAGACCTCAGACCCTCCTGAGCCCACCTTTCCACAAAATGGGCACTCTTTAAAAACGTTTCTTGGGTGTATGTGTCGTTAAGACAGGTGACTTCAGGAGTTCCGTTTCTCCGTGCATCCAGCACCGCTTTCCATGGGTTAGGTCGACACTTTTGAGTAATACGTATAAAATGCTCTGGGGGCAAATTGGAAAGTAGGAATACGTGTATATAAATGTCCAATCATCTTTATTTTTCCAACGTGAGTTCGGAGTGACTTGCAAGTAAACAGACAAGATAGTTTTCTTTTTAGAAGTTGAGCGAGAAAAACTGGGTTGGAGAAAAACTAGTATGTACTAGGAAACATAAGATAAAGTGAAGAGTGATATTGATCATAAATATTTACCGCTGTACTTAACGTAAGAGACCGTGAAGCACTAATAAAGAGTTTGGATCAGGGAGCCAGCCTGCCTGTTAATCCCGGCTCTGCCACTTACTGCATCTGTGACCTAAGGCAAGTTGATTGTCCCTGGATTCCCTCACCTGAAAAAGAGGTCTACTGCATTATTAATGGGTACTTGTATGGAACTGAGGATCCCATGAGTTGGTGATTACGGAAAGCATTAAGAGTGGTGCCTTACACAGAGTGCGTAAGAGCCGCCTCTTTCTAGAATCAGGCAAAGAAGCTTTTGTGAGTTTTACGGTTCCTTGAGTCCATAAGATATAAACTAACTAGTTATTTGGGGTTTTTTTTCCCCCTTCCAGGAATACCATAGCTACTCCCAATTCTAAAGTATTTAGGAGCAAAATTTTTCTTAAGAGTCTTCATAGAAAGAAGTCATTAGTAGAGAGTGGACAAAGTAGGTTTACAGTCGTTCATATGTAAAATAATACAGTAAAAATAACAATGCCAGAATAAACTGTTTCGCAGATTCACAACTGTGACCGTACTTGTGCCCACCCCCGTATATACAGTGGCCTGGTGGGCACCCATGTGGATGGATGTCACTCGTCATCCCAAGCCACGGCTCGGCCCATCAGAGCCTGTCCTGAGTCCCGGCTGCCCGTCCCCACCCCTTACGGCCTTGGGCCCACGACCAGGAGCCTGAAAGCCCGCCTGTGCGCCCTCTCCTCTCCCTCCTGCAGGGAGTCATGCCAGCGCAGCTTGTATGTCCGTGAACCTTTGTCTTCCTTGGTCATCCACTCAGTGAAATTAACAGGAAAAATTATGTTTAGTGCTACTGTTCCCAAAGTTCATTAAATTTTACAATTGTAGATTTTACCATTGTAATATGAAATTACTCTGGGACTAAGATTTGTCATTTCCTTCTTAGGGATGGAATCGGGCCTCCTTCATGGTGGTTGAGTCCACCATGGCTTTGAGTCCACTTACTTAAAAATGGCTTTGAGTTGAGAGCCCCCAAGCACATTTTTGCCATTGGTTAATACAAACAGTATGTCACAGTTACGCTGAGGGTTCGAACTGACACCTGGTCAGAAATTTAAGGAACTTAATGAAGACATGTGGCAGATAGATGATGACTGGACTTCTGCAGAGACCTACATTGTCTTGTATGTTTGCAGTTTAGTGCTTTCAAAGTCACATTTTCCTGTTTGACTTGGGCGTGCATGGTTGTTCCAGCGCTTGACCGGCTCCGGTGTATGTAGAACAAGTGGCTAGCTTGGCGGGCGTTGGGCAGAAACCTAAAAAAGGATCGAAGTGATCTAAGTGTTCGTCAAGAAGCACTTCAGGATCTAAATGCCAGTAACGCCGATAGAAGCACCGTCTGCTGGGAAATAAGGTGAGATCAGTCACCTGCACGTTCACGTGCCCAAGAACTATCTCAGCAAATCGGCTGGAGAGTGACAGATTTTTCCAGCCCACCGCAGAGGGACGGCCAAGGAGGCCCTGTTTGGAAAAGGGTTCCCGTGGGGGTGATACTGACAGGCAGTCGGCTGGAGGATTCCAGCAGTAGACAATAGACTAAACCTTACAACTAGTTGATGGCTACATTGTAAATTATTTATGTGAAACATCTTATTGCACCGTAATTTCCCAGATCAGTGACAGTCAGACTGGAACCTTCAGTAATGTTACACTCTGAAAGGCAGCGTGTAGTGGAGCCGTGCTGCGTTGACCGCGCTCTGCTGCATCGTGCTTCCCTGGTGCTGCGTTTTGTACAAATTGAAGGCTAGTGCCTCCACCAGCGGAGGGGTTGACTCACTTTATTGGGACACTTGCTCTGTTGTGTGGTCTGGAACCAACCCTGCAATGTCACCAAGGTACTCCTGTAGTTCCGGAATTTTTAACTTCGTGGCCATTTCCTAACCCAGTGCCTTTACATAGACATGGGCAATTAAAGTTTGAGAAATAAAAAATCAGAATGTGTGAGTGTGAGCACCAGTGTCTTGGAAGGAGAGGCAGGAATCCAGTCTGCGTGGTTCCAGCGCAGTTTAGGGCTAAGCACTTTCGGTGGCAGTGGTGCACAGTCCTGCACCGTGCCACGGCGTCTCAGCCCGCAGCAGACCGCGTGAGCGGGCTGTTCTCGTGGGACTACAACAGCTGAATGTCCTGGGAGAAATGGAAGCCTGTGTGGTTCAGGGGGAATCTCTTCCTCTGGTGGCATGGGTATCTGTGGGACTTGGCCACAGGTTCCCTGTCACTCACAGCAGCTCAGCTTTGAGTGCACGGTGCCGTCCCAGTCCGTCGGCACAGCAGAGCCTGTGCCCCCAGCACGACACCTTCCGAGGGCGCTGCAGCCCTCCCAGGTCGGGCTCGGTGGTCTCCAGAGAACACTGCTGTAAATGCTGCGTTGGGGGCCTTCGACCCTGTGCAAGGACACAGGCCCACAGGAGCAACATTAACAAGTACTCAGTGCCACCGTCACTTTAGTAAAAGCTTTCCGTGGTAGCAGAGAGCCAGCCGGTTTGTGTGCTTTGGAAATACTTCCAGGTCGTACTGATGTGAAGCAAAGTTGAGTTATGTCCCCCGTCAGCTCAGGGCCAGCACGGGCCCTTTGTGCCAGACGGGGTCAGAGGAACCAGAAACAAACTTCCAGGGTCAGACTGTTGTGTCCTGTGTGCTAGCCCCTGTCCATATTAAGTGCCTTTTCTATGAATACCACGGAGTTCCTCGGTCTGACCACTGCTCCAACGAGCATTAGGAAACCATGTTGCCATGGCATCCCCCAGGTTCCTTCATCTCTCTATCTGGATTCCTCATTCCTGCTGATCCTCCAGCTGCCTTTCGCTGGTCACTCTTAAGGCGACCCACACCCACCCAGCCAGCTTCTCCCGGTTCTTCCCGTCCGTCCAGCCCGCCTCCCCGCTCGGGGAGCGGCGCTGACAGCTGCGGAGTTCTGCTCCCGGCCCCGCGGTCAGAAGGGAGCGCGAGGGCGGTGGGGCCGGGTCTGGACAGTCTGCGGTCGCGTCCAGGGACGTCCTGGCCCTTCGCACCCACTCCCACCAGCTCCCCGACTCACGCAGGGCAGCGTCCAGTCCTGCGGGCTCCGTCCGTGGTCAGTGCCCTGGACGGGTGCACCTTTTTTATCTTTTATGTCATGTTTTTACTGCACCTTTTCTAGGTTTAGATACACAGTTACTTCCCTTTGTGTTACAGTTGCCTGCAGTTTTCAGTGCAGTAGCGTGCGGTGCGGGGGTGTGGGGGGCGGGCAGGGGGGTGGACCACACACCCCGAGTGGGTGGGGGGAGGTGGGCCGTGCCGTCCAGCTTTGTGTCAGTGCACTCCGTGACGTCTGCACGATGACAGAATCCCCTCGGGATGCGTCTCAGAATGTCTCCCTGTCACGTGGCTGAATTCTCCTTCTAGGGTGTCATCAAAGTCTTCTGAGCCATTCTGTATGATTTGTTCATTTTTTTATTGATTGTTTTTAGAGGAGGGAGAGACAAACATCAGTTTGTTGTTCATCTTCATGCATTCAGTGGTTGATTCTTGTATGTGCCCTGACCAGGGATCAAACCCACAACCTCGGTGTATTGGGACCACATTCTAACCAGCTGAGCTACACAGCCGGGGCCCGATTCATTCACTTTAGATTCATGCACATAGGATGTATTTTGTTCTTTGGTTCATTTGTTTGTTTCAAAGATTTTATTTATTTCTTTTTTAGAGAGAGGGGAAGGGAGGGCAAAAGAGAGGGAGAGAATCATCGACGTGAGAGAGAAACATAAATCAGTTGCCTCGCACTCGCCTGACCAGGACCTGTCCTGGTGACCTTCTGCTTTGGGGGACGACACCCAACCTTCTGAGCCTCACCAGTCAGGGCCAAGGAAGTATTTTTGATTTCATCTTTAGGGGCAAATTTTTACAGGAAATTGACAATTCAACTGTTTTTATTAGTACAAATTTATTTTCCGTATGATGACTTCTAGTTCTCATATTCCTCCTCCTTTGCCTTTGGAAACTTTTCAAACCTAAGCTCTTAAGTACCATAAATATCAGTTGGGGGAGGAGCCTCTTCAAGAGGTATCGTGATATAATCGAAGGTATCCAGAGCTTCAGAGCAAACCCGAGTTTGATTTCTGGCTCTGTACTTAATACTCATTTGGGTTAAGCTGCTCTCTTATTTACAATGAGGATAATAATAGTTACTTCATGCTATATAGAGAGCTATACTGTGATGTCTCTGGTAGCTAATAGTCATTTTATAAAAGTTCCCGTCTCTCCATCTCTGCTCGTAGAGTCATTTAATTGACATTTAGATCTCCAGTGACATTATTGAATGTGGTGGTTTTTGAAAATTTCTCTCGGATCTTTTCATTTCCTTTCAAAAATTAGTTCGCAGCTTTGCACTGTGGCAGTATGATTAGCCCATGAGGTTTATTCAAGACAAGATTATCACTAATTGAAAAATCAATATTCAGTAATTTATAGCTTTATGTGAAGAGTTCTGCTTCCGCCCTGGCCGGCGGGGCTCGGTTGGAGTGTTGTCTCCTGCACCAGAAGGTGGTGGGTTCAATCCCCACCTGGGCGTGTATGGGAGTCAGCCAATCGATGTTTGTCTCCAACATGGATGTTTCTCTTTTTTTTCCCCTCTCTCTCCCTCTCTAAAATCAATGAACATTTAAAAAAAGAATTCTGCTTCTGGCAAAATAGTGTTATTCTATATTTGTTTCAGCACTGTGAGAGATGCTAACAATATTTTTCACATTTAAAAGTTTTAGGTCAATTCTAGGTGGATACCAATACTCAGCTTTTGCTGGTAGAATTTGTTATACTCTTTCTCTGCACTGTATCATCAGATCACTGATGGACCTAGGAAAAAGTTAATAAACTGACTTAGTGCATTGTAATGTTTACATTAATCATTTAATCTTGTCACCTATATAATCGTCAAGTGGATTTTAAGTAGTACTATGTTCTGAGGCCAAGCAAATTTAAAGAGACTTTTAACATCTGTTCTTATCTTCCTGTTTCAGATGCAACTTAAAAGATATTTCAAAGGCAGTTATATTTCCGACAACTTTTTTTTTTTCATAGCATTTAGGATGAATTTAATTCAGCTTGTGCGTGACCACTGGGTACATGTGCTTGTCCCTATGGGCTTTGCTGTTGGATGGTACCTAGACAGAAGGAATGAAGAAAAGCTAACTGCCTTCCGGAACAAGAGTTTGTTATTTAAAAGGTTGGTTTGGGCATTTTTAAATCAACAATTAATTAGCCAGCTTTTGGAAGTATTCTTATTATCATATATGCCAAAAATAAACAGAAGGGGTAATCCCCTATCCCAAGGACTTAGATTTAAGTGATGTTATTTTGTAGTTTTGTTGTTTAATGCTTGAATAAAACTGTGATTACATTCGGAATGTAAACAGGTCCTCACTTTGTGAGGCTATTCAGATCTTTGGAAAATCCCTCTCTTTTTTTGCCGAGGGTGGGGGGGGTCAATTCAGGATGCATTTTTAACATGGAAACAATGTTTCAAATTAAACCAGCTTATCAGAGCCTACTTTGTATACAGCTTTCACAAGCATTATTGTAGTCTGTTTTACTTAAGCCATTATGTAGCTGAAATGCATGGTAGTGGTTACAGGTTAGAGCTCTGTTCTCAGCAGCACTGCTTGAGAGCTTTAGACGTGGTGGCTGCGTGACCGAATGGCAGCTGCTGGTCCCCTGGTTCTGTTGGGTCCCTGGAGGTGGCTCCTCGGGCAGCAGAGAGCGTTAACAAGCCAGGGTGTCTGCCACTGGGTGTGCGCTGGGTAGGAGGAAGCCCGGGGGGGAGGAGAGCTGAGCAGCGGTCACAGTCGCTGCAGGGGAGGTTCACGGTCAGGGGCTTCAAGAGAGATGAGGTGAACTGCAAAGGGTCTAGAAACACTAAGCCAACTCCTCGAGCTTTCATATGAAGATAGACTGAGAAATTGCAGCTCTTTAATCTGGGAAAACAAAATGGAAAAGACAGTAAAAGTTTAAAATCACGAGAGAATAGAATGAATATGTTGAATCAACATAAAAAAAAATTTAATGGGTCGATATAGAATATAAAACGTTGAATTCATGTTAATCTGACTCTCCCTGTGATCGCCTCATAAAAGGTTTATTCACACTTTTTCCTTCCCTTCCTTCCTTCTTCCCACACAGGGAGCTGAGACCGAATGAAGAAGTCACCTGGAAGTAAAGGCTGGGCCTGAATTACAGAATGCTCACATTTTTTAAATTATGAGAAAAATAAAAACATTTAATTTAAACAATTTGGAATGTGATTCTTTAATGCCGAAGTGGTCTTCCACATTTTAAGTAAAAGGCACACTAGCTTTAAAAATACTGAGTGCCTGATTGTGTACATTGATGTTAACTTTACAATTAGCATTTAATTTGCTGTTACTTATTTTGAATCACAATAGTGTTAACTCGTGTAGCCAGTTTTTTAAAAATATATTTTATTGATTATACTAATACAGTTGTCCCATTACCCCCCTTCACGCCCCTCCACCCTGCACACACCCTCCCACCCACATTCCCCCCCTTTAGTTCATGTCCATGTGTCATAAGTTCTTTAGCTTCCACATTTCTCATACTATTCTTACCCTCCCCCTGTCTATTTTCTACTTACCGTCTATGCCACTTATTCTCTGTACCTTTTCCCCTCTCTCCTCCTCCCACTCCCCTGTTGCTAACCCTCCATGTGATCTCCATTTCTGTGGTTCTGTTCCTGTTCTAGTTTGCTTACTTTGTTTTTGGTTTTGTTTTAGGTGTGGTTGTTAATAATTGTGAGTTTGCTGTCATTTTACTATACATATTTTTTATCTTCTTTTTCTTAGATAAGTCCCTTTAACATTTCATAAAATAAGGGCTTGGTGATGATGAACTCCTTTAACTTGACCTTACCTGAGAAGCACTTTATCTGCCCTTCCATTCTAAATGAAAGCTTTGCTGGATAGAGCAATCTGGGATGTAGGTCCTTGCCTTTCATGACTTGGAATACTTCTTTCCAGCCCCTTCTTGCCTGTAAGGTCTCTTTTGAGAAGTCAGCTGACAGTCCAATGGGAACTCCTTTTTAGGTGACTGTCTCCTTATCTCTTGCTGCTTCTAGGATTCTCCTGCATTTTTACTTTGGCTAATGTAATTACGATGTGCCTTGGTATGTTCCTCCTTGGGTCCAACTTCTTTGGGACTCTGGGCTTCCTGGACTTCCTGGAAGTCTATTTCCTTTGCCAGATTGGGGAAGTTCTCTTTCATTATTTGTTCAAGTAAGTTTTCCACTTGTTGCTCTTCCCCTTCGCTTTCTGGTACCCCTATAATTCAGACGTTGGAACGTTTAAAGATGTCCTGGAGGTTCCTAAGCCTCTCCCTATTTTTTTGAATTCTTGTTTCTTCATTCTTTTCTGTTTGGTTGTTTCTTTCTTCCTTCTGGTGCACTCCATTGATTTGAGTGCCAGTTTTCCTCCCATCACTGTTGGTTCCCTGTGCATTTTCCTTCATTTCATTTAGTGTAGCCTTCGTTTTTTCATCTAATTTATGACCAAATTCAACCAATTCTGTGAGCATCCTGATCACCAGTGCTTTGAACTGTGGATCTGATAGGTTAGCTATCTTTTGGTCGCTTAGTTGTATTTGTTCTGAGGCTTCGATCTGTTTCATTTGGGCCTTTTTTTTTTGGTGGAGGGGTCTGGTCACACCTGTTACGTATGAGGGGCGGAGCCTTAGGTGCTCAAGGGGTGGGGCAACCCAGTCACTGGGTTGTGACGCTGTATGTGGGGGCGGGGTCCAAGCGGGAACAACGGTGCTTGCTCTGCTCTCTGTTGGATTCAGTCCCTTCCACCACTTCCCCCAAGCAAACTGGGCCTTTCTGGTGTTGATTCCTGTGAGGGTGGGCTTGTGCACGTTCTAGGACCCCGTGGGTCTCTCCAGCGAACTCACCTGTGAGGCTGGGAGTCTCTCCCTGTGCCTCAACCCCCACTGGTGTTCTCAGTGCCCCAAGGCTCTATTTCCCAGCGCTGGGACCCTGGGTTGCACGCACTGCCTTGCTTCACAATCACCACCTCGCTGGGTCTGCTGGTTGCCACCCGCACCTAGGGTCTGCCAGACACTGCCTGCACACCCAGGGTCCACCCGCTGCGGGCTTGCATGCCCAGATTGCCTTCCGTGCCCAGTGCCACCGCTCTTTGTGTCTCGACCCCTCTCCACCTGGCTGCCCGACTCCGCCCCTCCTACCCGTCTGGATGAATGTGTCCATTTTAACTCCCTGGTTGTCCGACTTCCATACAGTTCAGTTTTCTGTCAGTTCTGGTTGTTATTCTGTTTCTAAATTGTTGTTGTCCCTATCTTGGTTGTGTGAGGACGCACAGTGTGTCTACCTAAGCCTCCATCTTGGCCGGAAGTCTCCATGTAGCCAGTTTTTTCCTCAGATGTTTTCTAGGAAAATTTTGGCAAGCCATTTGCTTGAAAGGTATTTTAAAAGGATGATGCTAAGGGGTTTTTCTTTTTGCTAAAAATCATATAGCCAAAAATTGTAGTTATGCTGTGTTTTGCCAGATTTCTTCAGTACTTGTGCTTGTGTGTTAAAAACACATAAAGCATGAACTAGTTGTAAAAATCAAGAAATCGTATTTTGTTGAAATTGAAAACTTTTGCTCTTCAAAACACATTGTTAAAAAAATGAAAATGCAGCCACAGACTGGAATAAAATATTTGCAAAACAAAGAACATAGTATGTAGAATATGTAAGAACTTTTCTCTAAAGATTTTATGTACTTATTTTTAGAGAGAGGGGAAGGGAGAAAGACAGAAGCATCAATATGTGGTTGCCTCTTGTATGCCCCCAGCTGGGGACCTGGCCCATAACCCAGGCATGTGTCCTGACTGGGAATTGAACCAGCGACTTTGGTTTGCAGGCTGGCACTGAATCCACTGAGCCACACCAGCCATGGCTGAAGAACTCTTATAGCCAAGGAAGACAAGCCCAATTTTTAAAGTAAACAAGGGGTTTTTGTTTTTTTGTTTTTTAAAGATGTTATTTATTTTTTGAGAGAAGGGAAGGAAGGGAAAGAGGGAGGAAAAACATCAATGTGTGGTTGCCTCTTGCACACCTCCAAGCCAGCACTCAGTCCACTGAGCCACACCAGCCAGGGCAATAAGCAAAGGGTTTTAACAGTCACTTCACCAAAAAAGATAGAGTGGAAAACAAGCACATGCAAATCTGTTCAACATCAGTGGTCACTAGGGAAATGCAAATTAAAAACAATGAGACACCACTACACACCTATTAGAGTGCTTCAAATTTAAAAGATTGGTATTATCAAGGGCTGACAAGGGTGTGGAGCATCTGGAAATCAGGTAAGCAGTTTCAAATTAAACATATACCTACCACATGACCCAGCCATTCCACTGAGGTGTCACCCAAGAGATGAAAGCACATGTCCACACAAAGGCTTTGTCATGAATGTTCATGGCAGCTTTATTTGTAAATTAAGAAATAACCAAGATGTCCATCTATGAATGAATAGATAAATGTGTTAAATCCATATAATTGATTACTACTGAGCAGTAAAAAGAAATGATCTATTGATACAGCAGAGATGAATTTCAGGTTAATTATTTTGAATGGAAGAAGCCAAACAGTACCTACTGTACGATCCCATTTATGTAACATCCCATTTATGTTAGAAACTGCAAGCTCATCAGTAGTAACAAAGATCAGTGGTTGCCTGGGGAACCAGGGTGCAGAAAGTGGTCAGAAGACAAGAATGCCAAAGGGACACATGGAAGCTTTTGGGGTATAGTTCGTTCATTTTCCTGATTGTGATGGTCTCATGAGTGGATATATATGTCATCTGTTATATTCAACTACCTCTTCTTGGGGAATCATTTTACTTTAGGTAAGATTGAGTGTAGAAGTAAAATTACAGTGAAATATGCCCTAATTATCACTGATTCTTGCCAGAACTCAGGACATGAAATGACACATTTTTAAATGTTAAGATTCCTAAGCTATTTGGGTTTTGTTAACAAAAGGCCAGTTTAAAAAGTACCATGTTCAAGAAGATAGAAATGTATTTGTGCAATCTTAAACTTTCAGTGAAATGGATTAGGGAAAAGCTGAGTTCAAGGTGACAGATAGGAAGCAACAGGGGTGCATGCATTCCATTTTCCCTGTCTCCAAAACTCTCCCGATTAGCTTAGTAACCTCTTTTCTACTGAATTATTGTTAATACTTTTTTGTGCCAATGAGTCAAAAAGAATCCATGCATTTATTCATTGTTCTGTACCAACCCTTATGTATTGAGTACGAATCCTCTGACCGTGTACACAGGCACACTTAAAAAAATCGGGAAAAAATGTTTTGCATATTTCGTCACTTCATGAGACCACGATTTCTTCCCCAGTTAGGCCACAATTCCTTAAGAACACGGACTGCTTCCTCAGTGCCGTGCAGGACTGCAGACTGAGCACGCGGAGACATTCGGTAAGTGGTCATTGAACCCTCCCGGAGCAGGGTCCTCACTAGCAGTCTCCTCTCCTAACCTCCCGCTGCCCCTTCTGTTCCTCTGAACGTGCACTTGCTACTCACCAGTGGTGTCCATACCAAAATTTAGTGGGCCCTTGACCTTACGTTGCTGGACCTCTTGGCAGCAATATGGCTGCTGTGTGACACGTCCCTTTTTCAGGGCTTTCGTAATACCACACACTGCTGCTTCTCCTCCCTTCTCCCGGGCTAGTCCTCTGCTCTCAGGGCTCTGCTCGAGGTCCTCTTCTCAGTCTCTTCCTTTCCCACCGTGGTGATTTTACTCACTCTTGTGGCGTCTGTCACCTTTTCTACGTCAACAACTCCCGCGTCCACAGCCAAACCTCGTTATCCAACCATTACTCAACATGATTACTTAACTTCATTTCAAGGTGCAAGATCTGCCCCTATTCAATGCCTTTAGCTTCCTCAACACCCCCCCCCCCAACTTATTGGACTTTTTACATCCCTCAGCTGACACTCTGCAGGACCCCCAATACAACACCTATAACAAACTGGATTTGGACTCCGGCCCAGAACTTGGGACACTGTGCAGTTCAACACCTCTCTCTGTTGTTTCCTCATGTGCAAAATAGAGATAACAATGCCTGCATCAAACATTGTATTACATTCATTAATATGTGAATTTATGCAAACTTTTGCATATTAATATATGCAAAGCTCTTAGAAGTGTGCCTACCCTAAAGTAAGCCCTCTATAAATATTAACTGGTGGAACGTACTGGGAGGTGCAATGATGCCTGTTTCTCTTAAAAAATGATTGATTTTAGAGAGAGAGGAAGGAGGAGAAAAAGAGAAAACTCCTATTTGTTGTTCCATTAATGCATTCATAGGTTGCTTCGTGCATTTGCCCTGACCGGGATGGAACCTGCAACTTCGCGGTATGGGAACAACGCTTTAACTAACTGAGCTATGGAACCAGGGCTGATGCCTGTTATTTAATGGGGCTTTCAGTGGGGTGGAGGAGGAAGACAATAAATCATTGTAATCAGATATTGTAAGTAGAAAATACAAAATAAAGGGGAAAATAAAAAGAACGTAGAACCCGGGAAGTCCTTAAGAACCTAGAGCAATGGGTGGGAAATGGAGATCCTCCAAACGGCAGGTGACGCTGCAGCACCACCCTATCCTGCCAGCTAACAGTGAATGAGTGGACGTGCGATAGAGGTCACGTGTCCCCGCCTTTACAGCCCCAGCGTTCCGTCGCCCTTCCCTCCACGTGACTCTCATCCTTGGGGATGATTGGTCTACGAGAGACACGTGGCCAGGGGTGGGCTGGGGTGGGGCGGGGCCGGGGTGGGTGGAGGGGTGGGGCCGGGGTGGGGCGGAACAGTAAGGGGTGGTCCAGCGCGGGGGCGGTTGGCTCCAGACAAATAAACATGGAGTCCATATTCCACGAGAAAGTGAGTATCCGCGTTCGGGGGGTTACCTGCGTGCGGTGCCGTGGCGGATGTAGCGCGGTATGGCTACCTCCCCGAGAGCTGGGTGGGGCACGTGTCGGCCCCTTGCCGATCTTGCCAGGGGGGAGGAGCTTCCCTGGAACGGGATCTTTGCCGAAGCCCCCATCGCATCCTCCGCCCGTGAGGCCCGCGCCCGAGGTTCTCGGGGAGTCCGGTGGCCAGGGAAGTCCCAGGAGCCGGAGGGAGGCAGGGCAGGGCGGGGCCGGGGACGCCACAGGGCACCGGAGGTGGTGGCACCGAGTGGGCTTGCTGGTGTGCTGCTCCCCTTTCCGTAGGATTCCCTCTCCCGTCCCTTTTCCCCCATGATCCGTAGCCAGTCACCTCTCAGACACTTCCCTCCATCCTTCCCAACTCTTCCAGCCCTACCCTTGGCAGAATTAACTTTTCCTTCTCTGGGCTCCTGAAGTCTGTGTTGGAGTCTCCCCTGCAGTTAGCTCCCTGGGGTTGTATTCATGTCCTCCTCCTGCACCACGTCCTGGAGTCTCTGAGTGCAGGGAGCCTGGCTCCCTCCCATGGAGGCCCTGCCATTTAGGGATGTAAAGTAGGCATCCCTTGTGCCCATAAACAGGGAAGTCATTAAAGAGTTTTTGTTACGAAATGTTTGGGTTTCGTTTCTTTCCGTAGACCCATCTTTCCGGATTAGGAAAGCAGCTTTCTTATTAGATATTAGGGGTGGACTGAAATTGTAGCGTTGTGGTCCGCCTAGCTTGTTTTGCTTTGATTCTTCAATGGCCACGCACTCGGAAAAAATGTGTTGGTGGCATGTGGAGAAACTCGTCTTTTCCAATATACAATTATCAAGCCATTTGGGTGTGAGTGAAACCTTCCTCGGGGGGACTTTGGCACATGATACCTTGTTTCATAAAAGTTTCATGTCTTCAAAGGGTTGCTGGTGAGTCTCTTATTTAATAGGAGAAAAGAGGTTTTGTTAAATACCTGTAGTAAGTGATCCTTTTTAAATTAAAAAGCCTCACATACACGACCATCAAATAAAGCGATCAAAGACAAAAGAGGCACAGCATCAATATCAACAGTGTTGAGTGGAGCGTCCTTCTTTAGAGAAAACATTTCAGAAGTTTTGGTGCTAGAATAGACCGGTTTTTATGTTTGGGGAGGAAGGACCTATTGCTGTAGTTATCACTAATCTTGATAGACATGGTTGATGAAACTTGATGAAACTAGTTCTGAAAAGAAATTTAGTTGCTTGGCTAAGGAATTGGATGAAGAGAACCCTGTATGTTTACTGATTTTCAGAAGCTTTGGTATAAGACCAAATATTTCAATGCCATTTCTTGAGAATTATGCAGTGTATATTTTAACAATATTGTTACTGATTTTAGATAGATTTCAGTGAAGGTAACTACTATGGGATGAAAGGAAGCTGCCTGATGGCCTAATGAAAATCTGGTTATGTGACAGAAGTCACTCAATTATCAGCATGTTTGTAAGCTTAAAGATACTTTAGGAATATATTTACCCTTATCATAAACTTGCATATTCTTAGCAAATGAAGGCTCTTGAATTAAAGTTCTTCAGGCATATTTCAAGAGTATGGGAAACACCCTTAATCATAGGGCCCGTTGTTAATTTTATCGCAGTCCCTTGCGGGAATGTCAATGTGCCATTTTCCAGCACCCTCCCTTCCCCTCCACCACATATATTTAACCCTTGCTACGTCCTGGGTTTGGAGAGCCAGAGGACCAACTCGGGCTCCAAGGAAGCTGTGCATGAAGGGGTGTCCGCCTGCAAAGGGGACCTGCAACTTGGAATGTGGGTTTCCCCGTATTCAGAGCTGTTACTTTGAGTGCCCTTTTATTAATTAAAAGGTAAACTCAACAAACTGTTTACCGCTGTGTCCCCAGTCCTTCCTGTAGTGCCTGGTCCAAAGGAGATGTTCAGTAAACGTTTGCATAACTTGAGTTCTTGGAGCATCTAAGATGTAGATGTTGCTGTTTATCTAAACAGTTTTTTTCTGTAAATATTTTAGGCTCTGCAGGTCATAGATGGCGTCACATATTCTTGTTTGTGTTTTCACAGCCATCTGGAAATGTAAAACCACTCTTAGCTACAGGCGCAGGCTGAATTTGACTCAAGAGCGAGAGTTTGCCAGTCCCTAACTTGAACCCTAATAGTAACTGGCCACTAACTGGTTTTTGTTTTGTTTTGTTTTGTTTTGTTTTGTTTTTGTTCTGTTGCCTGCTTTCTGTCATTTTTGTTATCACTTCCATTGCTGACGGCTCCAGGTGAGGTCGCTGTGCCATCTGAATTGGTACTTTTACGTAATGTAAACTGAGGATGGCAGCCAAACTTGCTGGGATTACATTTAAAATCAGTGAAAATACTGAAAAGATTCCGAGCATCGACTTTCTGACATCTGTTATGCTCTTTTGTGATTGCTGGCGCTTAGCCATATATTTGAGGTGTAGGAATAACCGCATTCCACCCAAGCGGCGGGAGGAAGTGGTAATAACACAGACTTGAAACCTCTGCCTGGGTTTGGAGCCTCGCTCTGCCGTTTTGCCACCTGTGTGCTCCTGGATAAGTTACTTCTTATCTCTCTGCTGTAGTGTCTTCCTCTGTGGGGTGGGGATATCACAGGGTTTGCCTCAGACTTCTGAGAGCCTAGAATGCTGCCTGGCTCGTGCCGTGGGAGTGCTGGCCTCTGTCACTCGGAGGCCGGTGTTTGCCGAACCTCTGCTGCAGTGAGAGGTGGGGCCTTCATGTCTTTCGGACGGAATGACGTGCTGCTGGGTGGGTGGGGTGGCCCCTCTGCTCCCTGCAGACACACCCTTAGGTTTGTGCCTGGTTTCTTTCGTAGGCAGTAGTGTCTCTGGGAGTTTGAACTAGTTCAGGTTGGTCCTGAGGACTTGGAGGGCAGTGAGGAATGATTTAGGTGCTGTTCCCTTTGGCTGTTTTATAAAACATCATGGTAAAACTGAAGATGCCACCGGTTCATCCTCTGAGCGCAAGGCGATAAATTTGGGCCAGAAATCATGGAATGTGAGAATACCTCTGAACTTTGACTGTAACAAGTGAACTTGGAGTCAGCTTTGGTTAAAGCTTGATAAGAAGCAAGTGGCTGGGGATAGGTTGTGGGGAGAGGAGGTTGCATAATCTTAAGAGGGGCCGTTGTACAATTTTTTTTTTTTTGGTCCGTGTAGAATTTGATTCTTCTTAGGACTTTAAAAAGTGATTTTAAATTTGGAATGGACGATTTGTTCTTTCCTTCAATTAAATCATAGTAGAAGCACAGAACGATATTATTTCCTATAGTAATACAGTTTCTCTTAGGATTTGATTTCAAGTGCTTATTTTTCCTTTTTTATTTTTAATATTTACTTTTATCCTCACCTGAGGATATTTTTTCACTGCTTTTAGAGAGAGAGGAAGGGAGAGAAGGGAACATTGATGCGAGAGAGAGGCATTGGTTGGTTGTCTCCCGCACATGCCCAGATCTGGAATCATACACACCTGGACTCAGGACCAAACCTATAGCCCAGGCATGTGCCCTGACTGGGAATTGAACCTGCAGCCCTTGAGTTATGGGTTGACACGCCAACCAACTGAGCCACACCGGCTAGAACTCAAGTGCGTAATTGTCATTTTTTAAATCAAATAATTGGATGTCCCTATTTCTATATATGAGGTCTGTCCAGAAAGTCTTCAACCATGTGATACGAAAAATAAAGACATTTATTGAAGAAGACCCAAGAAACACTGTACACATGACAATGATGCCTCAGTCCCCTTCAAAGTAGGCACTTCGGGACCTCACACAGTTCCCCCAGTCACCACCAGCTGCCCCATCGGATTTTCCGGAATCTCATCCATGGTCTGAAATAGCTTCCTTTTCACAGGTGATTTTAGTTTTGGGAAAAGCCAGAAGCTGCAGGGCACCAAATCGTGCTGTAGTGGGGCTGAGTCACCTGGGTGATTTGATATTTCACCAAAAAACTCTGCACGAGACGTGATGCATCAGTGGGCACGTGGTAGTGAAGCTGCCAGTCCCCAGTTGCCCATAGCTGTGGCCTTCTGAATCACTTGAATAGCTTCCGCTGAGAAATGTTCAAGCTTAACGCAAAACTTGATGCAGATTCATTGCTGTACTCCCTCAGTCATTTTGAATGCCACGGCCACACAGTACACATGTTCCCTCAGTGGCGTCTACCGCCCCCACTGACCAGTGCAGTGAAGTCATCGTTGTTCTGCATGTGCACTCCAGTCCGCTCCCCTTGGCTGCCAGGGTCCATGGATGTCACTAAGCCCTTCTCGCTATATTCACAATGGCTGGACTTTTTCCGGACAGACCTTGTATAGTATTTAATGTGGTAACCATAGTTTGAGAGCCCTAAACTGAGGCATGTGGTCTGACAGCAGGACAGAAAATTTGCATTAGGACTGTTCCCAGGAAAGTCCTTGTCGCCGTATTCGGTAGCTCTTGCCGTGTGCAGTAGCTGTATCTTAGCAGAAGCTTTTTTGCTGTTTGAAATTCTTGCAGTATTTTTTTATTGACTTTATACATAGGGGAAAAGCATCAATTTGTTGTTCCACTTATTTATGTGTTCGTTGGTTGCCGCTGTATGTATGTGCCCTGACCAGGGGTGGAACTGGCCACCTGGGCATATTGGGGCTAAGCTCTCACCCGCTGAGCTACCCAGCCCGGGCTGCTGTTTGAATTTGTAAATCGAACACATGTAGGGGCACACAAACCCTAAGAGTGGAGCTCAGTGAATTCTCTCCAAGTGAACACACATGTGTGAATAACACTGTGATCGAATAACAGACATGTATTTCCCTGAACTCCCTAAGCCTCCCTGTGGCCTCTTCGTCCTGCCTCGGCCCCCTGCAGGGGCAGCCACGGTCCCGAGTCCTAACATCATGGGCTAGTTGTGCCTCTTGCTGAACTTCTGTGAATGGAGTCACATGGTGTGTCCTTTTTTGAGTCTGTCTTTTTTTTTTTTAAGATTTATTTATTAATTTTTAGAGAGGGAAGGGAAGGAGAGACAGACAGACAGACAGACATCAATCAATGTGCGGTTTCTGGGGGCTGTGGCCTGCAACCCAGGCATGTGCCCTGACTGGGAACCGAACCTGCGACACTTTGGTTCGCAGCCTGCGCTCAATCCACTGAGCTACGCCAGCCAGGGCTGTCTTCTTTTAACATTGTTTGAGAGGGTCATCCATGGTGTCGAAAGTCATTGTAGTTAATTCATTCTTATTGTTATGTACTATTCCTTTGTGAATGTAACATGATGTATCCATTCTACTTTGATGGGCATTTTAGTAGTTTCCAGTTCGGGGGGCATTATGAATTAGGTGGTGCTTTTTTTAAACATTGTTACACATGTTTTGATGAACATATTTTTGCGTTTCCTTTGTTTGCATTCTGTCCCTAGTAGTGGAATAGCTACATCATAGGTAGATCATAGGGTGTGTAGATATTAAACTTGAGTAGGCGCTGCAAACAGTGTTCCAAAGTAGTTATACTAATGTGCAATTTCACTAAGTAGTGAATAATAGTTTTTGATGTCTCTAGTCCTCTCCAATATTTTAGCCATTTTGTAGAGTGTGTAGTAGTAACACACTGTGGTTTTAATATTTATATTCAATACTTTTCCCTGATGGTAATGAAGTCGAGCACCTTTTTGTGGTTTTTTTAGCCGTTTGGCTCTCCTCTTGTGAATGCCTGTTTGCCTTGTCCTTTTTCAGTGGAGTATAAGTAGGACATCCGTGCATCCTCCGTCGGCATGTAGTGTTCAGTGGGAGTTGCTCTCTGGTGGGGAGAACTCAGCAGAAGGAGAAGGAGGTGGAAACAAGTCCTCTCTCACCGTCACACCAGGTTGTGCACTTGACTTAGCCAGAAGGCCTAGACGCGACCAGGTGATGGAGATGAATTTATCTCAGCCCCTGTCCCAGCCTCAGACCGTCTCCGCCCTGCCTTCCTGTTCCTTGCATGTGTGTTCCTTATGTCTTTTTTAGCAGCGGAGTGTTGCTCCTGGAATATGAATTCGCAGGAAGAATAACTGCCCTGCAAGGAGGTGTCCCTCGGGGCCACTGTCTGTCGTGTGCTGGAGCTCAGCACAAACTGCAGGGTGCCGGACAGCCTTGCGGAGTGGACTGTCCCGGGGCAGGGTTCAGGGCCAGGGTCAGCAGGAGAAGGACGAGTTCTCCCCTCTGCCGTCATCCCCCAGAGAGGCAGACCTCCGTGGTCTCTGTTCACCGGAGGGGTTCCCTTCACCTGTGAGTCTCTCCGCTCACAAGGCGAGCTGGGGAGGGCACCACCTTGGAGGGGTGGTGAGTGGGCTTCCCAGGGCCGGGCAGTCTGGACACAGACTTGGATGGTCGCGTGTGTGAGAAAGCCAGCTGCCCAGCACCGCAGGCCCTGGGGCCCCTGGGAAGTTGTGCGTCCTCACCTCGCAACAGGAAACCGGTGATCCCACGGGGAGCCGAGCTCGGAGGCAGCCCCCTAGTTGGGCTCGTCCAGAGGTGAGCTCCGGGGATGCTTCCAGTCAGTCTTCCCGTGTGTGTATCTTTGTCAGCGTTCCCTGCAGAAACCTCAGCTCCGTAGCTGCAGGTCTTCGGTGACGTTCAGTAACAATTCAGTGCCATGAAATTCAGTAAGAATGGAATTTTACTTCCGTGTGTCAGTTCTTGAGATAGGAAATCACAGGAGCAAGCATTTTGACCAAGTAGAGATTATCTCGTTAAAAGAACAAATGTTCCAGGGATTACAGTTTCCTGTCAGCATGAGTGGTTTGCCATGGGGTCTCTGAAGACGAATTTATTTCAGGCACTGAAAGTGAGGGAGGATAAATGCTTATAATTTTTAATACAATATGAGATTTGGTATATTTCACAGATGTTCGTTTAATATAGATCATTCTTAAGTATTTGATCATACAGCTAAATTATCGTAGTTTCACCGATGGTCGAGTTGTAAAACAAGTGTTCGATGAAAATGCACGTGCTGTCTGTTAGTCCTGTTTGTCTAAAGCTGAACAGGTTCCGTTTTGACAGTGTTGAGAAGTTCATGATTACATTCCTCTTTAAGGCAAGACACTGGACGAATCTGTTCAACAAATCACATTGGAGTTTTTTTTTCTTTTGGAACCATTAGCAAGAAGGCTCACTCTGTGCCCAGCATTGCTTGAATAATCTGTTGCAAGGAGAGTATTTTAGCCCCGTGGAACTGTCGTCGATTGCACACCAGCTAGACGAAGAAGAGAGGATGAGGATGGCAGAAGGCGGCGTTACGAGTGAAGACTACCGCACATTTTTGCAGGTACTGATTTCAGACTCATGCGGCTGCCTTTTTAAAAAATAATGTGGGTACTGAAAAAAAATAAGGAAAAATGTGCGTATTGTTTAGAAGAGAGCACACCCTTCTCCCTATCGGGATCTGACCTGTTAATTATAACTCTGCTCTTGACTTTCTCAATGGGAATGCATAAGATGCTATTTTAAATATGCACACTAATGACGGTTTTCCTTTCTCTCTCCACCCTCCACCCCTGCCTCAACTGCCTGTCCAAATTCAACAGCAGCCTTCTGGAAATATGGATGATAGTGGTTTTTTCTCTATTCAGGTAAGTAGTCACACACATGTGCTGCGTGTCGTTGTTGTCCCAGGCTCTGTTGAAGCTCAGGGTGTGATCAATACGATTATCTTTAAAGTCACTATAACGATGTGACCCTCAGAAGTTCCCCCGATAGATCGTGTCCAAGAGAATGAGATTGTACTCCAGAGTAGTAAGTGTTTCTGTAGATAAACATGAGTGTTAAGGTTGTAGAGTCTTCAATTTAGGGTATGGTTTTTTAAAAAGATGATATACTTTGCATGTGGATACTAATAACCTTAACTCTAATTAAAGTCGGAGCCTTTTAAACTTACTATCTCTTGTGTAAATTTGAGAAAAATGCAACACCTTGCTGCCTTCCCTTTAAACCACCCTAGTGGGACTAGGTTCTTTTATGGTGGTCTGTGGCTATGCCTTTTATTTGTTGTTTAACATACAGGATTCAGAGGAAGCTGTACTGCTTGTGAGATTCTTTGACCTGTAGGTCTCTCATTCTGTTTGTCATGCCTGGGAGGTGTACCTGGAGTTCTTCCCAGAGCCTCTCCTCGGGGACCTGTGTCTGCAGATGTCTTGGTGTGTGTTCCGCTTGTGCTGTCCTGGACTCCTCGCTCCCCAGCATTTCCATTCAGTGCTTCCCTGGGGACTGTTAGGGTAACGGATACCACGGGGCTGGGATCCAGGCCGTGAGGGGCCCAGCCCTCCCCGTTCCTGGGTGTGGCGCTGCCCTTGGTGCTGATTCACATGTGCCCACTGCATTGCCTCCACTTTTGCCTGCTGGTTTCTTTGTGAGCTGCCTTGGAGGGTAGGTGGTGAGTATTTAGAATTCTCCATTTTATTTCCAGTTTGAAATCATCAGTATTATCTTTTGTTTTTTCCTAAAATTCTAAACATAGGATAACAGAAGTTTAAAACCTACAAAAACTTCATTTTAAATCCCTTGAAAAAACTCATTTTAATAGATATCTAATTATCACTATTACTGACATATCAGGAAGTGGGTTGAAATACAACTTTCCTATGGCAGGACACATATCAGCCAAATTATCGTATGTGGAGAGAGAGAGAGGACTAGTTTTAAGAATGCACTTTAAGGATAGACTGTACATCTGGATTTTTGAGGCAGTTTTATCTAGGAATTGTGTGGATCCCTAGAATATCCCAGAAACCTAGTGTTAGGAAGTACTATTTTAAAAATACTGTATTGATTATGCTGTTACAGTTGTCCCAATTTTTCCCTCTTTGTCCCCCTCCACCCAGCACCCCCCACTCCCTCAGGCGGTTCCCCCCCATTTGTTCATGTCATGGGTCATGTGTATAAAAGTTCTTTGGGTGCTCCGTTTTGTATACTGTAGCCATTACATGCCCATGGCTATTCTGTAACTACCTATTTGTACTTCTTAATCCCCTCCCCTCTTCACCCCCTCCCCCACACCCTCCTCCCATCTGGCAACCATCAAAACCTTCTCCGTATCCATGATTCTGTCTCTATTCTTTTTGTTTGCTTAGTTTGTTTTTTAGATTCAATTATTGATAGATATGTATTTATTGCCCATAGTTTTGATGTTTTTCTTTAAAAAGTCCCTTAAACATTTCGTGTAATAACATCACCATGTTTTGGTGATGATGAACTCCTTAAGTTTTTTCTTGTCTGGGAAGCTCTTTGTCTGCCCTTTGATTCTAAACGATAGCGTCGTTGGATAGAGCAATCTTGACTGTAGGTCCCTGCTTTTCATGACTGCATATTTCTTGCCAATCCCTTCTAGCCTGCAAGGTTTCTTTTGAGAAATCAGCTGACAGTCTTATGGGAACTCCCCCATAGGTAACTACCATATTTTGCTATGTATAATGCTTGCTTTTCTTTTACCCAAATTTTTGAGGGAAAAATAAGGATGCTCATTATACAGGGGTAGTACTAATTCCTTATCTTTATGCATTCTTTTAATTCTTTTATTTATGCTTATGTGTTAAAAGTGTAACTCTAGAAAGCAATAACAATACCTGTATGCAAAATAATACTCTGGAATACAACAATTGCTTTTGTTTCTAAATATAAATAAAAGGTTGAATTAAAAAATGAAAGGAAAGGTTTTTTTCCTGAAAGCTTAGGCAAAAAAGGTGGGTGCACATTATACACAGGAGCGCATTATACATGGCAAAATGTGGTGGTGACTTGTTTTCCCTTGCTGCTTTTAAGATTCTCTCTTTCTCTTTAACCGTTGGCATTTTAGTTATGATGTGTCTTGGCGTGGGCCTCTTCACATCCATCTTGTTTGGGACTCCGTGCTTCCTGGTCTTGCATGTCCATTTCCTTCACCAAATTAGGAAAGTTTTCTTTCATTGTTTTTTCAAATAGATTTTCAGTGTCTTGCTCTCCTCTCCTCCTGACACTCTATGATGCGAATGTTGGACCTCTTGAAGCTGTCCCAGAGGCTGCTTACACTGTCCTCGTGTTTTGGATTCATTTTTCTTGTTCTGATTGGTTGTTTATTGCTTCCTTATGTTCCAAATCATTTGATTTAATTCTCGGCTTCCTCCACTCTACTGTTGTTTCCCTGTAAGTTGTTCTTTATTTCAATTAGTGTATCCTTCATTTCTGACTGGGTCTTTCTTATACTGTTGAGGTTCTCACTAAGTTCCTTGAGCATCTTTATAACTGGTATTTTGAACTCTGCATTGAAAAATTGCTTATCTCCATTTTGTTTAATTCTTGTTCTGGAGTTCTGATCTGTTCTTTCATTTGGGCCATGTTTCTGTGTCTCCTCCTGTGTTTGTTTCTGTGTATTAGGCAGAGCTGCTTTGTCTCCCTGTCTTGGTAGCGTGGCCTAATGCAGTAGGTGTTTAGTAGGGACAGTGGCACAGCCTCCCCTGTCACCCAAGGGCCCCTGGGTACTAGAGGTGTGCCCTTCGTGTGGGCTGAGTACAACCTCTTGTAGTTGAGCCTTGGTTGCTGTTGGCAGGTCAATGGGAAGGATTTGCCCAGGTCAGTCCGTTGCAAGGACCGGCTGTAGTCACTATCCACCAATCTGCACCCTTGGTGGAGATCCGCTGTGTGGGGGCAGGGTGGTGGTGCCCCAGCATGGTCTGTAGCTGTCCACTGGGTGCAGAGGCTTTGGGGTTTCCTGGGTGGTCAGCCCCTACCTGGGTTTTATCCGGGGCCACCCTGCCTGAGCTATAAAGCAATCTGAGATGGCTGCTACTTGGAGATTCCCTGGCAAAGCCAAGCTGTGAATCTTGTCTGGCTGCTGCTAGTGCAGGGCCTGGGGCTCACGGAGACCAGCTGTTGCTGATTTGAGAGGATTTAGGAAGTTCTGAAATGTGAGCCAAGACCAGCCATTCATATGGAAAAGCAGCTTGGGTGGGCCCTTAAATTGGGTGGGGCAGAGTCTTTGAGGATCTCCAGGGCTGGGTAAACAGTGTTAGTCAGGTTGTGGAGTCTCAGATATGGCACCAGCTTGCTGGCTCTATGGCCCTGTTGGGGGAGGGTTCAAAAAAGGGACAGTGGCTTCTACCTACTTGCTCTCGCCTTGATGCCAGTCTCTTCACTTCCTTCCTGTATGTCACTGGGGCCTCTTAAGCTGCTACGCTGGTGCTGCAGCTCTGAGGAAGTGAGTCTCCATGTTTGGGTCCTTTAAGGGAAACTGCTCGGGACTCCAGAAGTTTCTTCCACTGACTCTCTCCCTGCCGGTTTTTGCAGCCAGAAGATATAGGAACTTATCTTTCTGGCTCTGGAACCCTGGGCTGGGGGGCCGGTGTGATGCTGGGAAACCTCACTTCTGGGATATCCTTCCCAGATTTTTTCCACCACATGTGGGTGTGGGACCAGCCTGTTCGGCGTGTGCCCCCCTCCTACCAGTCTGGATGGGTGTGGTTTTCTTTAATTGCATAGTTGTCTGACTTCCATTCAGCTTGACTTCTGACAGTTCTGAGTGATGGTTGTTCCATCGTTTAGTTGTGATTTTCATGTGGTGGTTTGAGGAAGGCAAGCTGTGTTTACCTGCGCCGCCCTTTGACTATAAGTCCCTAGAAGCAATTTTTAAATGCTATGCTTGTATGTTATTTATAGATGTAGTGGTATATCTTACACACACTTGTTAAAAATCATAGCCTTCTGGAGAAATTGGTGTATGAAGTACAATTGTTTGCACAGCTAACATGGCTTTCCCTGCTTAAATCTGAAATTGAACAGCGTAGCTCATGAGAAATTGCTGTTTGTTTTTTTTTTAACAGGTTATAAGCAATGCCTTGAAAGTTTGGGGCTTAGAACTAATCCTGTTCAACAGTCCAGAGTATCAGAGGCTTGGGATTGATCCCATGTAAGGTTTTATTTTGCTTTTCCTACATTTCTTTACCTAATTTTGATTTTGAAAGTTATCATTTCTTAAAGGAGAAAAATACATGTTCAGTGCCTTCGTCTTGATGTGCCCCGTGTCACTCCCTTTTCGCCTTTGGGGGCATCCGTGTGTCCCCAGCCATCCTGGCAGCACAGTGTCTGGGCACCGGGCTGCTCCTCGGGTGTCCTGTGACGCCACCGTTCACATCGCGTCAAGGACCTGCGCACAGATGCTCTCTGGTGTGCTCGTAAACATCCGTGACACTTAGCTGTAAACATGGTCTGAAATTACAAGTTTTGTATAACCCTATAACCCTTGCCAGTAGACAAACTTAATGTTGGGTCTCTATTTTTTTTTTCCTTTTCTAGAAATGAAAGATCATTTATATGCAATTATAAAGAACACTGGTTTACAGTTAGAAAATTAGGAAAACAGGTAATGTTTCTCCTTTTTCCTTGTCATTTTTCTCATTCCACACTTTATTTGCAGCTAAAATGTAAAGGATTAGATGAAGAAATTTATCAGTCATGTGTAGGTGGCATAGTTAGAAATTTCCTGTTTTAAAAGACAATATCAGTTTGCCTTATAGATTTATTTGTGACAACCATTGCTGTATCATAAGAAAAATTCTTTATTTAAGACAACGGCAAACGTGGTTACTTTTAAGTGGGTTTTATGTGATAAATGTTTTGTCGGTTAACTCTTCCATTAATAGATTTGTATTTAGCGCAGCGGTGTGACAAAGCTTGAAAGTGTCCAGAGGGAGTGAAGTTTTCAGCCATGTTTGCTTTAGCATAACAAATTCTTCACATTTCAAACTGCCACATAATACATATATCCCCATAAAATCATTTCTCTTAAAAAGAAAAAAGAACATGAGCTGTGTCTTGAGCAAGGCTTTTTTTTAAGATTGAGGAACGTGCCTAACATTTTATTTTTTAACATAATTACCAGTGATCTTTGTACGCACAGTTCTATTTTTGAAACAATTATTTGAAGTCTGATTTTAGAATTTTGAATCTTTGAGTGAGTGTTAATAAAAATGGGCTAATATAATAAAGAATTAACTATTTTTTAAAAGGATTTTATTTATTTTTATTTTTAGAGAGGGGAAAGGAGGGAGTGAGGTAAAGAAACATCAACCTGTGGTTGCCTCTTGAGTGCACCCTGCTGGGGGCCTGGCCCACAACCCAGGCATGTGCCTGACTGGGAATAGAACCAGTGATCTCTTGGGTCACAGGTTGGCACTCAGACTACTGAGCCACACCAGCCAGTGCAGAAGGAATTAACTATTGATACATGCATCAACATGGGTGATCTCCAAATAATTATGCTCAGTGAAAGGTAGATACCAAACTACCTACTGTATGGTTCCATTATGTAAAAGTGTAGAAAATGCAGGCTGACCTGTGTTGACAGAAAGCAGATCAAGCAGTGGTTGCCAGGGATGAGGAGGGCAGGGAAGGGTGAGGAGGTTCCAGGGCATAGGGGCTCAGCAGTGGTGAGGGCGTTCACTCTTCTGGTTGTGGTGATGGTTTCATGGGTGTATGTGCATGTTAGAACTTTTCAGATTGTGCACTTTAAATATGTACAGATTATTGCATGCCTGTTACACCTCAATAAAGCTGTTTTCAAAAATAATACAAAAAGACGAAGTCAAGAAAGTACGTTGAATTAATGCAATAAAGGATAATTCAAAAACAAAAAATACTGCTATTATCTTTTTACTCAGCTGCCTAAATGCAGCTTCATCTTAAATGGTTATGTCTATTTTTAAAGATTTTATTTATTTTGGGGGGAGGGTGGAAGGGAGGGAGAGGTAGAGAAACATCAGTATGTGACAGAAACATCGATCCGTTACCTCTCTCACCCCCAACTGGGAACCAAGCCCAGAGCCCAGGCATCTGTCCTGAATGGAAATTGGACCAGTGACCCTTTGGTTCACAGGTCAGCACTCAGTCCACTGAGCCACACCAGCCAGAGCTTAAATGTCTTCAGGTCCCCTCCTGAGGAACTCAGAGCTAAGCAAGTAAGGCACAGGAAGTGTGGTGGAGCAGAGGGTGACCCAAACGGGAATCGACTCCAGGGCAGAGCGAGGGCAGGACACTGGGGGTCTGTGCCTCTGGTTTCCTTTATGTCTTTGAAAAGTATGATCACGTATTCTTCACATTTTGTGTCTATAGTAGTCCAGGTATTTTTTTTTTTTTAAGATCTGACGGCTTGGATTCCAGAAGTTCTTTTATATTGATTTGCATGTAGATTTATATCATTATTTTGAGAGGTTTTTAAGATTTTAGTTCTTCAAAATTGTATTTTCACATTTTAAATTACTTTATCTTTGACAAAGACAGGAAATGTCAAACATTGGCTAATCTTTAGCTGTAATTTATATTTTTGTTTAAGATTGTATTTTTTCCCTGTTGACTCTTCTGTCTGAGGTCCCTTGTAGGTTGAGTTCGGGTTCCTACGAAGCAGTGACTAGATGATGTTAGTTACACACAGCGGTGGCTTTCGCAGTCTTTTCAAAATGAGTTGTGATTTAAATTTCTCCCTGTATAGACAGGCTTTCTCACAGTGAAATCTTTGACCAAAATGATCGGTAGTAGGAAAACTTGGTGTAGTTGTCATTTTTCTTCCACATCAATATAGTGTGATTATATTAGGGTTTTCTTAGGCATGCTTTGAAAAAAGGTTTAATTATAGCTATTAATGAAGCTAATTTAAAGTACTGTCAGTTTCTTTTCTTTTGGGGGGATTTAAAGTTTATGGCTTAAAACAAACTTTTATTTTTAAAAAATTTAATAGTGATAAATCATTCTGTTTCAGGTTTTAAAACATTTATTTACTCTTTAAAGTCTCAGTTTGATGTGTTTTCACTGTTTAGACAGCCTTACTAAGTTTAGACGGTGTATATTTATTCTTAACGTGTGAAACATCCTTATTCATTATAATGTACACTAACTGAAACATTGGCAATTTTTTTCCAGTGGTTCAACTTGAATTCTCTCTTGACGGGTCCAGAATTAATATCCGACACATACCTTGCACTTTTCTTGGCTCAATTACAACAGGAAGGTAAGTTAAAATGGAAAATTTTATAATGTTATCTTTCAAAGTAGCTGAATAAAACTGACTCATTTGATGTGAGTGTAAGAGTGCTACTTTTTAAAAGATTTTATTTATTTATTTTTAGGGAGAGGGGAAGGGAGGGAGAGAAACATCAATGTGTGGTTGCTTCTCATGCGCCCTCCACTGGGGACCTGGCCCGCAACCCAGGCATGAGCCCTGATTGGGAATCGAACCGGCCACCCTTTGTTTCACAGGCCAGCACTCAATCCACTAAGCCACAGCAGCCAGGGCCTCAATTTATATTCTTTCCACAATTGTATAGCATGCTGCCTCTGTAGCTACAGTAATTTTTAATTGGTTTTGAATCTCTAACTAGCTGTTTTAGTTTATTTTTGCCTTTTTTTTAGGTTATTCTATATTTGTTGTTAAGGGTGATCTGCCAGATTGTGAGGCCGACCAACTCCTGCAGATGATCAGGGTCCAGCAGATGCATCGACCGAAACTGATTGGAGAGGAACTGGCACAGCTGAAAGAGCAGAGGTAACAAAGGGAACTCGCATTGTGGAGTATGTGACAGCATTTCATTGCACGAATTAAATTTTCATGCCAGCATGGAGTGGGTGGTGGTTTTATAATTGGTGATTTTTTTTAGACCCATATATTTTAGTCAAGTTTATTGGTGCAAATTTGAATGAACTCTTTGAATTACTTAAATATATTAACTTAGAGTCACATCACAACACAATCTTTATATTGGACCTAATCTGTAAGAAAATGTGTGAGGGTTTTTTTTTTTTAAGATTTTATTTATTTATTTTTAGAGAGGGAAGGGAGGGAGAAAGAAAGAGAGAGAGAAACATGAATGTGCGGTTGCTGAGGGTCATGGCCTGCAACCCAGGCATGTGCCCTGACTGGGAATCGAACCTGCGACACTTTGGTTCGCAGCCCGTGCTCAATCCACTGAGCTATGCCAGCCAGGGCTAAATGTGTGAGTTTTGACTTACACAAGATATTCAGCTTGTAAATGTCCGCAAGACCGGCCTGCAGTCATTATCGGTGCTTTCATTCTTCAGAGTCCAGAAAGCCGACCTGGAACAAGTCTTAGACGGAAACGACGGGTCAGGGGTGTTAGACGAGGATGAGGAGGATTTGCGGCGGGCCCTGGCACTGAGTCGCCAGCAGATTGACATGGAGGATGAAGAGGCAGATCTCCGCAGGGCTATTCAGCTCAGTATGCAAGGTATAGACATTCCGGCGTGGCTTCTTCCCTTGTCGAAGAATTGATTCAGAAAATTCTGGGTTTCCGGGGTGAACCGTGAGAAGTTGCTGGACAACCTGGCAGTCACTGAAGAAGCAATGCAATGGCCGTGTACAGTCAGCTGTTCTGGTGGGACACAAAGGGGGGCCTGGACAAGAACGTCAACTGACTTTACAGAGAGCTAACATCGGCGTCTGTGCCATTTACAGCTCGAGCCCCCCTCGGTGGGCCTGCTGTCACCCCGATGACAGCCCTGCAGCAGAGGAGCATGTAGCCCCTGGGGAAGCCAGGCCTGGAGAATGTCTGGGGGTGGCACAGGATGGCTTCATGAGAGCGTGAGGGGTTTCTTTGGGTGGTTTTGTTTTTATCTAATTAACGTGGTTGTGCCTTCCTGTTTTCTAACGAAATTATTCATTGAATTTCTTAAATATCTAAAAATTGAAGTAATGGCCCACATCAGCTTCTATAATTTTAGGTATTTGGGGTAAGTCACTCTTCTTACCACTTCGTTCCACAATCTGTGCGAGGTCTCTGGTTGGCGCAGTAAATGCGCACATGGAGACGTGCCGAAGCTGTGGTAGGACCCCGACTTCTGAGGGTGAAGGGCCGTGGAGAGCGGGTTTGTCTGGTGGGCATCCGCTTCCAGTTGCTTCTGAGGACTCCTGTGCCTTTGAAAGGGGAGTTTTGGGTCCAGTAAGTTCCGGAGAGCTCACTGGAGTGCCGTCCGTGGCTCTTCCCACCACGAGGGCGGTTGGGCCTCGGTCCTCGCGTGTGCTGCTGCGTCGGGGCAGCAGCTGTGGTCGTAGTGGACACACGCTAGAGTTGAACTGCCTCATTCAGGTTTTCCCTGAGGCTTTCAGAGCCTTCCTTGGTTTTGCAGAATGCGAGCAGAATATTTTTAAGTAAACTTATTTTTAAAATTTTAATTTATTGATTTTTAGAGGGAAAGAGGGGAACATCTGATTTGTAGTTCCACTTATATATGCATTCATTAGTTGACTCATGTATGTGCCCTGACTGGGGATCGAACCGGCAACCTTGGCGTGTGGGGACAACGCTCTAACCAACGGAGGTACCTGGCCAGGGCAAGAAGAAAACTTGTTAAAAACCTGTTCACGTAAATATAAACATATTGTTACTTGACCTGGTAGATAAAATTATTTTTTCTCTTCTGTTTTGTTTTGTTTTCAGGTAGTTCCAGAAATATATCTCAAGATATCCCACAGACATCAGGTACACATCTTACTTCAGAAGAGCTACGGAAGAGAAGAGAAGCCTACTTTGAAAAGTAAAGTAGTTTGTACAGTATTAAAATTGCATCTTCGGTATTTCCTTTGGCTGTTCTCTTTGTTGTGAACTTACAGCTTTGGCTTAAACTGTTTCTTTTATTTAAGATTCTCTTTTTTAAAAAAAAAAAAGACTGGTTCCTGCCTGCCCCTGTGAGCATTGGAATGTATTTTTTAAAAAATGCACAACAAATAAACTGAAATGAAATGTAGCTTTAGGGGAAAACTTCACCCCAATACTAATTAAATTTACATGAACCAGAGGCAAGGAGGCCCCGCGAAAGTTCAGTCGTCAGGAGGAAAATGGAATTGGGTCCCGGCAAGCACAGCGCCTGACGATCCTCTGAATGTGCTTCTTGGGTTCCTGCCCCTGCTGAGTCCTTCCCCCGCCCAGGCAGAGCTGCCAGCGGCGAGCTCTGCCCCCTGCCCTCGGGCAGCGGTGCTCCAGGGCTGTGGGCCTCAGGGCCGTGAGGGTAGGCCATCAGTCCAAATCGGCAGCTCCGAAAACCCGGCTGGGTACCCAGCGTTGTGAAAAGTACTCTTAAGATAGAAATTTCACCCCATAAAAATACCTTTGCTTCTAGCAACTGTCGTTCACAAGTCTTCTTCCCTTTTTCTTTTCTGGATGATAAAAACTCATCTTAGAGGTTACAAGATCTAGAATAGATATTCAGATCCTCCGATCCCAGATCGGAAACCAGAAGGCCAGTGGCTGAACCTGGCCTGTTAATGTACTGCGTTTCATCAGTTCTGAGGTACACGTATTCTCACATTTCAACGTCTGGGCACCTGAGCAGCGTCATACAGTCGTAATTGGCAGTAGTTAGTGGTATTTAAGATATTGAAGCCTTTTACACTTGATGGTGAAATGAAGATAATGTTTACCTTGTTTTCTGTTTTGTTTCTTTTTTAAGTCAGAACTCAGAAGTATATGAAGGAAATTCTGATCAACTGACAACCTCTTAATGTGAGATACTTCCAGTCTTTATTCAGTGATAGATGAATGGATTTAATTATATAAAATTTCAAAATAGTGCTTACTGGTGCTTTTTTCTTCGTTTAAATTTTAAAATTAATTTTTATTTTTTAAATATGATAAACTTAGAGCCTGTATAAAAGTAGAGAAACCAGCATAAGGAGCACAGATTTAACAAACATCGGCATGTGAGCGGTCCTGTTTTTATGCCCCGTTCTCCTGTGCCCTTCACTCTTTCCACCCCCATGCTGGGGTTATTTTGTAACAGATCTAAATCATCATGTCATTTTATCTGTATTTATTTCAGTACATGTCTCTAAAATCTATGGGCTATTTTTTTAAACAAACCCAAATGCTGTTGTCATACAATAATGCTAGTAATTATCAAGTGATACTTATTAATGGTAATTCTGTAATATCAAATATCTAGTTAGTGTTAAACATAACTTAGATAAAAATTACTAGCCTACTCTGGCTGGTGTAGCTCAGTGGATTGAGCATGGGCCTACAAAGCAAAGGGTCACTGGTTTGATTCCCAGTCAGGGCACATGCCCGGGTTGCAGGCCAGGTCCCCAGTAGGGGGGCATGTGAGAGGCATCCACACATTGATGTTTCTCTTCCTCTCTCCTTCCCTTCCCTTTTCTCTAAAAATAAATAAATAAAATCTTTGGGAAAAAGTGGTTAAAATGGTAAATTAAAAAATCCTAGAAAACTTCTTTTAAGACATATCAAACTTAAAAGAAAATATAATCTTATCCTTTTTTCAAACATTTTATTTATTTTTAGAGAGAGGGGAAAGGGGGGAGAAAGAGAGAGAGAAACATTGATGTGTGAGAGATACATCACTCAGTTGCATCTCGCATGCCCCCAACTGGAGACCTAGCCTGCAGCCCAGCCACATGCCCTGACTGCAGTAGAACCAGCTGCCTTTCGGTTCACAGGCGGGTACTCAGTCCACTGAGCCACACGAGCCAGGGTTAATCTTACTGTCCTTTAATAACTGATGTTAGTATTTTGGCACGTCATCTTCTAGTTACACAGACACGTATATATTAGTTATACCCGTTTTTCCATGGTACTAAGTATTCTTTGTGTTGATAAATAGGATACATGCTATTTCATGACATAAATGTATATATCATAATTTACATATGAACATTTTATTTTTGCTATTGTAGTTCATAGTGCAACAAATTATCCTTATACTAACTCTGTGCCTTAAATCTCATATCATTTCTTCTAATATTTTGAGGATATCAGATTTTGGGGTTCAAGTACACGGACATTTTCAAGGCCGTGGTACAGATTTCTAGCTGCTTGCCAGAACAACTTCCAGGCGATAACTTCTACCATGTTTTTTCAGACTCTGTGTTTTGCCAGAATAAAATCGTCCAAACAGACATACTTTATAGAGAATCTACAAAATTATGTATCCACAAATACCTCTAAGAAAAGGAAAACATCTTCAAAGTATAAAAACAAATCCCTCTTATTTAAGTTGTTTTTTAGATGTTTTGGATTACAAATGTGGAGCTTCCAGTACATTAAACTTTTTAGAGTAGAAAGAATCACGCATTGACAGTCCTTAATGGTTAGGTAAATTGTAACAAGCACAGTGCTAGCAATAATGCAGATGCTTTAGCCAACGAACGTGGTGCCCTTTTGGAACGACTGGGCGTCGGTGTGGCTCCTTCGAGCTGGAGGGTAGGGGGTTGGGGAGGGACGTGTGCCGTGATGGTTTCCAGCTGCAGCTTTTTATCCTCCGGGTTGACCTTAGAAGTGCCAGGGGGAACTTAAGGAGGACTAGAGGCTGTTCAGAGTCGCGTGTTGCTGAGCAGACTTGCGAGCTCACTTCCTGGCGTGTCTTGTTAGCATTGGCTCACATTCAGCATCTCGTAGGGCTCGTTAGTGAAGGAACGGAGAAACCAACACACAGTCAGACCTCAGTTCTCGAACGTCTGCCGTCTCCAACAGTTCAGTTCCCGACCAAGTTCCCAGGAGAATTGTCTTCGTTGTCAAACAACACTCGGGTTCTCCACCCGGCATTCCTTTCATGCTGACACCTGTGTGGTCAGTCATGAGTCTCCCGGGCGACAAACAAAGGAGAGAATGAGCGAGATGAGTGCGATTCGGTTCTTGAAGAAATTCTTTCTCGAACAGCCTTCCGGAATGAAATACGATCGAGAACTGACGTTCCGCTGTGTTGGCCTTTCCCCAGCACTTCTGATCACTGAGCCTAGGCGGGTCTCGCTCTCCGTAGCTTCTTCTGTCTTCGGGAGCGTAGCTGTAAGGTTATCGGCTCACTTTCTTCTGACCCTCTCCAGACCGCCCCTGGTGCTCACTTGTTATTCATTCAAATGTGTGGGTTTGTGGGTTGTTTTTTTGTACAGTACTTGAAGCTTCACACTTGATGAGGTCGCCACAGTACTCATGCAGGAAGCATAAAAAAACTGTTAAAAATCTACCTGTACAAACTCACACATTCCAAGTAAGAGTTGTTAAATATTTTCATAGCCATTTTTTCAGTAGCAATCTCTAATTCCATGTTACCTACCATGAAACTCCAAGCAGAACTATTATGTCAGCTTTGTCATTGCAAAACCTGCCCTAACTCACAGGCTGTGAGGATATAAATTAGGCAAGGCGTGTCAGACTGTTCTGTAAACTAGAACACGTTCCACGGGCATGCGTTAGCATCATCAACGCCTTCTCATAGGTGTAACTCAGGAATGAAGAAGGGTGGAAAGAACCCTTCTTTCTATCACCGGGAAAGTGTTTCCCAACAAGGAGGGAACAGGCACCGTGTTGTTCATGGTTGTCGGTCGCTGTGGTTTTTTGGTTGCCTAATACCTGAGCCACCATGTCAGCGGCGTGGCATCATCAGGGTTCAGTTTAAGAAACACAACCTACTAGAGGTGTTTGAAACACAGAAGTCTTTCATACAGAAACTAAGGCCTTACACACACTTAGGAAGAGCTGGAGTGCCGGCGGTAGTCCAGGCCTCTGTGTTTGAATTCCACTGTGTCGGAAGAGCGGCGACCGCTGCCCAGGTGGGGGCGATGGCGAGTCAGGAGACCGAGTCTAAGATGCACTGCCAGCGCTGTGATGCCGGGATGAGGACACCGCCACCGCAGTCGCCTAGGCGTGACGACGTGGGAGCAGGAGGAGTCTGGCCCCCAGGCAGCTGCCACGAAGCCGAATCCTGGGACTGGCTTCTTCGTGACACCACTTGCTAGCAGAGAGCAGCCAAAGCGGCAGGAAGGTGGCCACGCCTCAGCTCTCTTTTCTACCCTTTAAAAGCCCGTGCGAGCGCTTCGTCGGTTTCCAGAACCCCAGGGGTACAGTGTTCTGGGTGTCCAGTGCTCTTAGCTCTCTGGACTCTGTGATTGTGAAGGCGCGTTAGATGGCGCCGTGGGGGGAGCTGCCGAGTGCTCTCCGAACACCTTCTGTCTCACGTGTCATCACGTGCCAGAGTTGTTTCCAGGCTGGCAATTCATTTACTTCTCAATTTACGTGAATGTAAAGTAGAGTAAAAGTTGCCCCTCTAAAATCGCTGCCACCTTGCATGCTGGCACGTCTTCCTGAGTGAAGGAGGGAGCGGTCCAGAGAGAGATCTGATGCGCCAAGAAATCCGCCCAGGTCACGGCCTTTCTTGCGCCACTTCCCAGAATCAGGCGGTGCCAGTGGGAGCACGCCACCTGCCCACACGTGCCTCTCTAGCCGTGTGCACCAGAGGCCAAGTGCTGGTCCAAAGGCCAGCAGGGGAAAAGGCGACTCCTCCCTGGCTGAATTTCCTTGGTTGCTCCTATTTGAAACACAAGATTAAGGGAGACCCTGGGAAAAAATGTGCTCTTCTATTAATAGTGTTACTGGAATTTAAATAGTGTTACAGAATTTAAAAATTCTGGTTCCTTTCAAGATCCTCATGCATGTTTTGAAATCTATGGATTCTCAGATTGTCAGCTGTTTTTAAGTTCTTTACATTTTAGCCCATATATGTACATATGAAGTCATTTTAAATGTATATAAAACCAGAACTAGTTCACAGAGCTGTACCCTTCGCTCAGAGTCTCCAGTTGCTGACATTTCTGAACATTTGAGAATAACTTGAAGACGTTATTTCTTACTACATCTCAGGGTTTATTTTCTAAGTACAAGGACCTACATGTTACATCATAACCATCGTGTTTAAATGTTCTACGACATTGTTTTCCCTGCTTAAAAATGTACAGGGAGAACTTATTTTAATGCAAATAGCTATTACAGAACCTTGATTATGTCTGTTAAGTAGTTTTTATTTCTTTCATCAAGTATTTGGCAAAAGCCTACCATGTGACTGGAATAGTTTATGCACTGGGCAACGAACGAGATAAGGGGTGTACCCTTGTTAGCTTACTCTCTGAAGAAGGAGGCAGACAGGAGGTACCAGATGCTGGTAGATTTATGCTGAAAATTAAAATGAAGTGATGAGACAGTAAGAATGCCCGGAGGCTGCTCGAGGATGGTGGGCAGGAAAGGCATCTGTGAGGAGATACTGGAACTCGGATCTGAACACAGGGAGGAGCCAGCCATGGAAGGATCGTGTTCACTCGCAGTAATTTGGGGTGCTTGGTTTTTCCTTCAACGTGTTTATTTTCAGTGACCTCCCCCAATATTAAGGATCTGTAAACCAACACGTTTGCATGAAAATAGCTACCAGTGAATCCTTTTGTACAGTGTGTTATTTTGTGGTAAAAACACCTACCTATTAATTTCTCTGAACAAATTCAAATTTTATGCCTAGGTTTCCTAGGATTGCACAGTGATGCTTCCAACTCGTGTATACATCAGATTTACAGCTCTTGCATTCTTTTGTGGTGGTCATGCCACTGGCTTGTGGAACCATTTCTTTTCCCATGAATAGTGTTTCTTATGGTGTGTTTTTATTTATTTGTTTTTTAAATGTGCGTTCTCTTTTGCATGTTTCAGGCAGCAGCAGCGGCAGCAGCAGCAGCAGCAGCAGCAGGAGCAGGGTCCGCCGGGACAGCTTTCGCACCCAGCTGAAACGCCGACCATGAGTTCCGGAGCACTGGGCAGTGATCCAGGTACACCCCTGACGACGCGTCACAGTTGTTACCTAACGCACACACTCTTTGACACACAGGCTCTGTGTGATTGTGGCTTTACAGGCTGTTTTCTTCCCCTTTCACTGTATTGAAACTTTGAATGAATTTGTTTTCTCAATTTCCCTGGATTAAGGAGTCGACAGATTAGAGCACCCCAGAAATGTTTTGCTTTAAAGTTACAAATGATACCTGCAACTTCTCAAGTAATTGGTGCATTCTGTGAAAGTTTCTCAGAGATTGACACGACCACTGGTCTGCAGTGACCTCGAAACGCTGCAGATGGCTTGTCAAAACATGAGAAAAACATACACAGAGACAACCAGGCCCTGTGGGGAAATAGGGACGGAATGGCCACCCTCTCTAGTGGGGAACACCTCCGCCACCCTCCCCAGGGGAGAGCGCCCTGTTCTCCCCCGCAGCAGGCTTTTTATTGGGTTCGTTTACACAGGAATTGAGGTAAAGCTCATTAATCGTTGCCAGGAAGTAAGGATCAAACAATAGATAACAAGGAGGCCTGAGGGCCTATTTGGAGTCAGGGTCAGATAGCTAAAGAGCTGTAAAACTTTGAGGAACAAACTTACTTCTTGCTTGGACCCTTATCATTTCATTGAGAACATTCTAAACAAAGCAGGTTTCACAGGATTTTACATATTCTTTCTTAGGCCTGATGACCTGGGGAACCCGCCCTTTCCAGCACAGGGCTGCACCACCCTCTGTCATTGTTTCAGGCTTAAGTCAGGCAGGGGAAGTAAGGCAGCCAAGAGATTAGGAGATTTCCTTGCAGACAATGAGGACTCAGGCTATGCTAAAGCCAAGGGGTGGGGATCCATCACCCCTTTTTGCTGTAGCCCCCAAAGTCCTTCCTTGGGGGCCTCCCACGTGATCGTGCCTGTCTTAGGTCGTCCCCCCTTGGAGAATCTTACCTGTCATTGGCTAACCAACCAAGCATTGGGGGCCAGGCAGGGTGAAGTAAAAGGAGCAGAAGCAGCGCTCCTGCCAGGGAGGTAAGCTTTTGTCTCCTTGGTGGCTTATGCCCCAAAGTTGTTCCCTCAGCCTTAGCCTTGGCGGGGGTTACAGCTTCTGATACCAGGCAAGGCGGTTCCCAACAAGAGATAGTGGATATTACCAGGTAGAAAATAAATGCATTTTACTCCCTGGAAAATGAAAACCACCTGAGCGTAGTCTAAATAAGAACAGGAAGTCTAGAGTTACATATTGGGCTTTGGTAATAATACTATTACGGGCCTTACATAATAAGTGTTAACCTTTCGGCAGTTATTGGTGTTAGAAGTTGAGTGGAAAACCATTTATGACAAAAGACTTCCAAGCAGAATTTATAAAGAACTCTCAACACTGAGATGAGAAAACACAAAAATGGGCAAAGGATTTAAGCAGGCACTTCCCCAAATAAAATATATAGGTGACACTTGAGCACGTGAGAATATACTCAGCATCACTCAGCATTAGGGAAATGCAAATTAAAACTACAATGAGATACCATTTCACACCTGTGAGCATGGTTTAATAAGATAAAGTTGACAATACCGGAGGCTGGCAAGGGTCACAGCAGCTGGGACTCTCACACGTTGTTGGAGTGAAATGGCACAGCGCCTTCGGAACACGGTTTAGTGCTGATAAACTTCCTCTAAACCGTGTGACCCACTAGTCCCACCCCTGGGTGTGTGCACTCAAGAAGAGAAAACAGGCTCACAGAAATCCTGCGTGTGAATGCCTACAGCAGCTTCATTCGTAATCGCCTCCAACTGGGGCCTGCCTACGTGTGGTCCATCAGCTGGGCAACGGCTGCACAGCTCGTGGTAGTACTTCACACAGTGGACTGCATTAGCAATAAGAAGGAATGGAACGGTACTACTTCTGCTAACCCCAGGCATCTGTATTAAGCAAACAGGAGACTCTGAAAGGCAGAGAGAAGACAGGCAGACTAGGAAGCTCGGCCCAGAGGCTGACACAGCGGTGAGTGGCCTGGGTTTTCTTTTGGCCTCGTCTGTCCGTCTGTCACGGACTTTGTGCTGGAGGAGCCCCAGGTGCAGACCAAGAAGAACGCCCCACGGAAAGCCTGTTCTGTGTAGCCAAAGGGACCACCTGGCAAGACGGAAACTTTCAGATGATAAACACTAGTCCAGCCACACTGGGCTAGGTATTTATAAACGGACTCCACTGCCACCTCACCTGACAAGTGGGAGCCTCGGCTTGTACCCCTGCCTGGCCGTCAGGAGGCCCTCCCCTGGCCCCCATGCACTAGCCAAGGTGGCGTCAGAGGAGGCCAAGTGGGGAGCGGCACTGTTTCCTCCAGGAGAGAGCAGGCCGCCTTTGCCCTGCTGTCAGTGGCCACAGGGAGCCTGGACTTGCACCCGCAATAAAGAGGCATCCCTCTGCCTTCCCGCCGGGGCGGTATCAGGGGCAAATTAGTGGAGATTCGGGACTGTCACTGATCTGCGGCAGTAACAAGGCTACCCCCACAGTGTTGGTGGGAACCAGTAACAAGGCATTCTTGCCTCCCGGTCAGACAGGTGCCAGCGGAGGGCAGTGGGAAGCCAGCGCCTCCACCTGTCCTCAGCAGTTACGACCACACATGCGTCCCCCCCCGCATCTGGCAGTGGCAAGGGGGCACTCCTCCCCAACTAGCGCTGTGTCAGAGGAGGCCAGCTAAAAGCAAAGGTTCAGGTAAGATCCACAGTCTTATAATAATACCCAGATGTCCCGGATTCCATCAAAAATCATATGTCCTTCCAAGAACCAGGAAAACTTCAACCTGAAGAACAAAGACAGTTACTAGACCCCATCACCAAGGTGGCCCTGATGTTAGAATTTTCTGACATGGATTTTTAAGGCAGCCATCATGCAAATGCTACTGTGACCAATTACAAGCATGCTTGAAAGAAATGAAAAAAATAGAAAGCCTTAGGGAAGAAATAGAAGCTGTAAAGGAGAACCAAATGGAACTTTTAGAACTGAAAAATGACTAACTGAGATTTTAAAGTCAGTGGATGGACCCAGCATGCACATGAAAGGGCAGGAGAGAATCGGTGGACCTGGAAACGGAACAACAGAAATCACCCATTCCGAGCAGTTACACTGGAGAAAAAAATAACATTTGTTAGACACTTGTGGGACTGTAGTGAGAGATCAAATATTTGTGCCATGGGAATCCAGGAAGGAGCTGAGAAAGGGGGTGGGGTAAAAAAGTGTTTGAAGAAATAGTGACTGAAAATTCTCTAAATTTGGGAGCAGATGGAAACATATAGATACAAGATTAGTGGACCTCAAACAGAGAAATCCACACCGAGACACAGATGATATCTGAAAACAGGAGACCAAAAAAAAAAAAAAAGGAAAATCTTAAAACCAGCTGGAAATACCTTCATGTACAGCAGTGTACATGACAGCAGATTTCTCGTCTGAAATCTTAGAGGTCAGAGGAAATGGCACATTTTTCAAGTGCTGAAAGGAAAGAACTCTCAATCCAGATTTCTGTGTCTGGGGATAGTTTCCTTTAGGAAGGAAAGGGAAATTAGAAAATTTGTCACAGCAGACCTGCCCTAAAATAATGGCTAAAGGAAGCTCTCTAAACAGAAATGATTAACAAAGTAATCTTGCAACTTCAGGAAGGAAAAACAAAAACAATAGGAAATAAAAATATGGATAAACACAATAGACTTTCCTTTTGAGTTTTCTAAGTTATGTTTGATGATTAAAGCAAGAATCATAACATTTGTTTGATTTGTGGTGTATGTAGAGGAAATATTTAAGGCAATTGTAAACCGAGGAGAGTAAATGAATACAGAGGGGGGTCAGGTTTCTCCATTTCATTTGAACTGGCGCAGCCACTCCGGAAAACAATTTGGCAAGCTTCTTCACAAATTCAACACACACTGATCACACAACCCAGCAGTTACACTCCTGGGCATTTATCCCAGAGAAATGAAAACTGGTCCATGCAAAAACCTGTACATGAACGTTCATGATGGCTTTATTTGTCATAACAAAAACTGGAAACAAGCAGAACGTCCTATAAGGGGGTGAATGGTTGAATGAACTGGTTCATCATAACATCCTGTAGGGATGAATGTTACATGAACTGGTACGTAACGTCCTCTAGGGGTGAATGGTTACATGAACTGGTACCTCCACACCATGGACTGCTCCTCAGGATTAAAAGGAAACCAGCTGTTGGCACCCTCCTTGGAGCACGGCTGTGTCCTTCTCTCGAGCACATAGTTTTTAAGAAACACTGGATGTCCCTACAAGACTCGCTGCAGGGCAGCAGCGCGTCCCAGGCTGACCCCTGACCCTGTCTCCAAGGCCCCCCTTTCTCTGACTTCTCAGCCAAAGCCACCCGCCTAGGCTTGGTCCTGTGGAGTCTATCCTAAGCCCTGCCTTTGTTTTACCGTCCCCAGCTTTTATTTTTATAAGATTTTATTTATTTATTTCTAGAGAGGGGTAAGGGAGGGAAAGAGAGGAAGAGAAACATCCATTTGTTGCTCCTCAGACGCCCCCCACCAGGGACCTGGCCTGCAGCCCAGGCATGCGCCTTGACCGGGAATCAAACCGCAGCCTCTCAGTTTGCTAGACGATGCCCAATCAAAAGAGCCACACCAGTCAGGGCTCACCAGCCCCAGCTTTAATAAATATACTCACAAAATAAAAATAAAAGATACATTTTAAAAAGGAGAGAAACCAACTGTGAATACACGCACCAACTCGGGTGACTCTCAAGGGCGTTATGTTGAGTGCAAACCAAAGCCAGCCTCCAGAGGCTGGCACTGCGTGGTTCCGTGTGTGGGGCCGTCCGACAGTGACGGACTGGCGGGGTGGAGAACAACGGGGTGGTTGCCTGCGTGCGGGGAAGGTGGCGGGGAGAGGAGCGGGTGTGAACGTCAAGGGATAGCAGGGCAGGTTTTCATGGTGCTGACGCAGTGCCCTGTCTCGGTGCCAGTGGTCACACCGTCCACACCTGAGATCAGACACCATAGAACTACTCGCGACATTGTCCCAGTGTCAGCAGCCAGGTTTGGGGGTGAGCTGTACTTACGTGAGATCGGGTGAGATTGGGCTGAAATGTACCAGGGTTCTGTCTGAACTAGCTTTGCCACTTCTGTGAATAAATGTTTCATAACTTTTTTTAAGTAATGAATTGTTGCACAACAAAGGTAAATCTTCTTTCCCTTAGCTTAACTGCACTGTGCTAAGTGAAGGAAGTCTTACTCAGAAGGCTCCATGCGTACTGTATCATCCATTCATGTTGACAGGCGGCAAAAGGCAGACTATAGGGCAGAGAATGTGTCTGTGGTTGCTTGGGATTAGGGGTGGGGGTTGGCCGCAGAGGGGCAGCACGAGGGAATTTGAGTTGGGGGGGGGGCAATGTAATGGTTCTGTATCTGGGTGGTGACGGTGGTTCAACTGTATGCTTTCGTCCAAACTTACCAAACTGTGAAAGAGTGACTTTTACTGGATGTAAATTTTTAAAAATCAAAATTGGAAACTCGTCAGACAGAAAGAAATAGATTTTCAAAGAGTTTATCTTTTGATAACTGATAATTTTCCAGAAACATCTAAGAAACGTGTGTATTTTCTTTCCCGGCAGGTGATGCTATGAGTGAAGAAGACATGCTCCAGGCGGCCGTGACCATGTCTTTAGAAACTGTTAGAAATAATTTCGTAACAGAAGAAAAAAAATAACTCTACAAAGCTCTAAAACATTCGTACTTCCCAGCATTATCCTGTGTGATTTCCAGCATGGGGCCCATCTTGATCATGTGTCAGAGAGGACAGTGTCCACCAGGGGACACAAGACTTGTAGGTGGTTTGCAAAGAAAAAGATGAGAGAGCGGAAAAACGTGTCCGTGAAAGGACTAAATAATGATCCTTCAAATACTAGCCAAAGAGGCATTCAGCAATTAAAGAAATTGAAAATAGTTTTTTTTTAAATGTTCCTTTTTTGTTTTTGAGCGTGCAATATCTAACATGTTGAAAATTAGGGCATTTTTCTTGCATCTTTTTGCAGACCAACTAACAAGTTCTTGCCACAGAACGTTTTCCATGCATCTTGTTTTCTGTTCCTCCGTTCTGCGCAGGTGGTTCGGCTCAGCTCCATCACCTAACACTCGCTTCGTGTCTCACTTACTGGGCAAGTAGCCTTCCCGGACAGGGGCTGTCCGCTGTGCCGGTGAGAGTAGTGGTTCCGGAAGGAAGAGCGTCCTCCCTCCCCTGTGTGTGTGTGTGTGTGTGTGTGTGTGTGTGTGTGTGTGTGTGTGTGTGTGTTCACTTGGGTGTTGTCTCTTCCCATCGTGTCTCTGGTCGCAGTTTACCTGCTGCCTGGTTTCTATCACTTTTCCACAACTTTTCAAAAAGGTGGTTCCCTTTCTTAAGGTTTTGCTTGTGAAGGCCTCTGAGGTGGGTTCATTATTCCATGATTCTGGTGCATTCCTAAACGCTGAGATCAGCTCTGCACAAGTAATTAAGAATAAAGGAGCATTTTTAAAAAGCGTGAGCCTGCCGTTTCCCAGATGCTCTGCGAACGTCTTCTCAGTGTTGTCGGAGCTTCGCAGCTTTGTCGCAGAACCCTCTGTTCAGCACTGTCTTCTTTCCTCTTTGCCAGCTGAGAAAAACAGAAGCATGTATGCGAGCAAGTCTCCTCCTGTTGTCAGACAACGTGTGAGACCCACCGTGAATGTATAAGAGACAAGACTCGGCCTTCAGTTTTAGGTGCAGATTCGTTTTATTTTTTCTGGTGTGACCGGAGCTCTCTGTTCTTTTCACAGCTGAGCCCCGGAGTGTAGATGCCTGCCTCTGCTGTCCGTCTTCTGATAGGAATAGCTTGCCAGAGATGGTGATCTGGAACATGACAAGAAGTTACTAACAAAAACATGTTTAACTTTGTACTGTGACTTACCACTTGCATCATGTTTAAAATAGCTTAAGAATGCTAGAAGTCACACAGTACTGAATGGGTCTGTAAATAAGAAAGTCTTTAGTTTTGATAAACAGTCTTTAATTAGGATGCACAGAGAGTATCTTACTAGGTCAGTGCAATGGTGTGATTTGGGGAAAAGGAACCATGTCTTTCTGAAATGGGCATTTTAGATTCTGTCATCTGCTTTGCATCCTTCATTCTCCATTCCCATTTGAAACCCTTTTGGATGCTGAATTATTCATAAGCTAAGATCTAAGAAGTAATTTCAGCCAGCGACTTAGAAAATTAAGGTATGGTGTGTGGCAGCACACGTTTTATCAGGGAAGTTTTTTTGATTAGGGTTTATTGCTGAGCAAAAAGATGAGAAAATGCCTTTTGTTTATGATTTTGATACAGTTCTTTCTTGGAAAGAGACAAGATTTTTTTAGTCATTATTTTGTGCCAAATGAAATTTCCTGAAGTTTTCCTTCCATAAAATTAGTTTTACTTTAAAATCTAGTTTTCTTTTGACAATTGAAAATGTTTCGGAAGAATGACAAGAATTTGGAACTGCAAGGGACGTAAGAGTTTTATACTACTCTCAAGATACACGAACAGAAATATGTATTTGGCCTTACCTTTTCCCATTGGAAAGTTACATAGAACTTTTCGTACACTTTGATGAACTATCTAATATAAAAAAGAGAAAACAAATATGTATACGTTTTAACTTTAGAGTTTATAAAGTTCTTACATTGCATACCCTTGTTAAAGCCTTTAAGGAAATGTGGTATGTTGACCTTCGTTTGTTAAGGAAGGACCTTTTTTAAAAGCAAAGCTGAACATACACTGGATACATTTTTGAGTGTGTTTATTTTGTTCGTGTGACATTGTTACATTTGGCAGATAGTTACAGAATCACTTGTAAACTGCCATCTTGTTTAGATTGGCTTAGATTTAATTGAACATGCAACACCATTGATTGGCCAATATGAAAAGATGCCAGTGCTCATAACCACAATATCAGAAAATTTAAAAGTCACCCTGAGCTATGGGTCACACGTCAGGAACTGCTATTGACAATAAGCCACCTGCCAGAAAGTCCAGAGCAATGAAATTGACAATAACTGTCCTGCTAACAACTTTATATTGAGATTTCCATTCTGTTTTGCTAATTGGGAACACCTTACTGTTTAACATTTAAACTCTTGGTATCATTTTCTAATGTATAGTTTGTATTACCTGGATAACATACACGCAGTGGCAATGCTGGTGTTACAAGTAAAGTGTAAACAAGCTTTAGAAATGCCACTTTCATATTTTGAGATGTCATAGAATAAGTAGTTTTTTATGTTTTAAAAATTCAGAATAGTTAACTTCTGATCTAAAACCATCAATATACATTTTTATAGTAATTATAAACATTTCTGTATTGTACATTGTTTGAAACGGTTGCTGTAGGTAAACTCGATTTCAACTCTAAGATCTTGGCCAAATAATTTACAATTCACAGAATATTTAAGGAGGTGCTTTTTTCCCCTTAAAACTTGATTTTTCTTATATAAGACTTCATTCATGCCAAAGTTAATGAAGAAATAAGCTCAAAACTAGTTGAGAATCGTCCTAGGCGAAACTACCACTAGTCTGTATCGCTTCATTGAACATCAGGTTCAGTCGAGTCAGTCACACAGCTAACGTCTGCACGCCTAGACGGTGTCGTGCTAGTGCCAAGATTCACTGAATGTCTTCAGACTGGCCCATCGAACCTGTGCAGACTCAAAAAAGAATTGATTCAGTGCATACGCAAAATAGAGTCACTTAAACGTCTTCAGTTGGAAAGCCATGTTTTAAATCCTTAAGACCAGTAGTGATCAACACTGATGACTTCCTGTTAAACACTCGAGCTGACGTTCGAGAGGCCTGTGACCACGGCTTTCCAAGTGGGTGGTTACGTGTGGGCCCTGAGGAGCTCGGAGGGCGGTGTGTGTGTTCCTGAGCGAGGAAAGCCCGATCGGACCAGCTGACCGTCTCAGTGGTGTGGACGAGCTTTCGTGAGTTCACGTAACAGCTTTCCTCCGCTCCTGGCCCCTTTACAATCAGCGTCTTTTGCTAAAGAAGTGAACTGGCTTGTGTATTTTTTTAAAAGTCTTATACATAAAAATATTTTTGTTCCATTCTGCTTTCATGAACGAGAAGATTGACATGGTTGGTTAATGCTTGAATTGTGATTTTTTAAAAATCTGAATAAAACCTTTACTGTTTTTTTCCCCAAAATGATCTGGAATTTTAAGAATTAATGCTAGTAACATTTTTAAATGTCCAGCAATTGGCATGCTAAATTAATAATGTATCAGTATTTTAAGACTATGGACCATAGAAAGGAGTAGGGAACAATAGTGGAATATGCTTGGAAATTTCTGATCTGTTGAGGAAGCACATCAGTTGTTTCTTGCATGGTTCAAAGGTGAATGTTTCCAGGGTTGTTTTTTTAAATTGAATTTACTGGGGTGCCCTTGGTTCACAAAACCATGCAGGTTTCAAGTACACAACCCAGCGAAACGTCACCTGCACACTGTGTCGTGTGCCTGTCACCCCAGGCAGGCTCTTTCCCGTCCCCGTTCAGCCTGGCCGTGGCCCACCTCCACTGAACGCCACCCCCCCCCCCCCCGCCCCTCTGGCTGACACTGCCCTGGCGTCTGTGTCTGCGTGTCATGTATGTTTCTGTGTTTTGTGTCTTTCCGCTTAGTCCTTCCACCTTCTTCCCTCTAACCCCCCAGTCCCTCTCCCTCTGACAGCTGTCAGTCTGGTCTATGTATCCATGCCTCTGGAGAGGAAAACGTGCATTTGAATGTGCTTATCTATTTTCTACAACCGTGGGTTACTAGGAATAACTTTAGAAATTACTCTTCTGTATAAATACACTATTTGAAATTCAAGTTCAGAAAACACCCGACATAAAAAGCATTGTCTTTTGGCCGTGACCCAAGCGCACTGTGACAGTGCTGTTTGCTCAGGACCTGGTTCTGCAGCCCTCCCGTGGCGGCCCTCTCTGCGTCCCTGTGTGGCTGCTGCGCGCAGGCCTCCCTCTCTGGCCCCGAGGGGAGCTGGGCTTCCAAAGCACTGTTGGACACTGAAGATTCTACTGTTGGTATGGATGTTCCATAAGTTGTATTTTAAATATCAGAGATTATTAAATAAAGATGTTTGCTTTTTATTGTCGTTTTTATCTGTGGTGTTCCTTCATAGCCTTACCATTCAAAGTGTGGGTGGAGGACCAGAAAGAAGCATTTGCACCACCTGAGAAGTTTTGGTGAGTGCAGAGTTTGAGCCCACACTCCGAGTTACTGTGCACCTGTGTTTTTAACAGAATGCCCAGGGGATTCACAGGCAGCGCGGAGCTGGAGAAGTGTTGTTTGCCGGACTCTGGAGTTGAGGGAGGCAGGCCCGGGGAGCCCGCTGGCCCTCTGTCCCCTTGTCCCTAACCGCTGCCAAAGGACCTTTCATTACAGGAGCCGCTGACATTTTCTATGAAGCTAAGAGTCCCGCATTTTCATTTGACATTAAATTTTAAGAGTTGGTTTTATTTTTCAACCCTGAGGGCCAGATCACATTAGCGATTTTTAAGAGTGCTGGTTTTCCCTTATTTTATCCGACTCTGGACACCAGAATCCAACTAATAATTGGGCTCCACCGGGACTGATTGAGGATGATAGAATTCTCCAATTTTATTATGAGGGTTGTATATCCATTTTAGCCTTAGATGATGCCACAGCTGTGCAGAGGTGGGGTGCCACCAGATGGTCCCAAGGAAGCAGCAAGCCTGATGGTGCTGGGGTGGGGGATGGCTGCTTGTCTCTGAGGATCACAGCAGTCTGAAGAAGCTAGCACGTGGTGAACGAGAGAGGAACCTGGGGTGTGCACAGAATCTTCCCCTGTAAGGTTTTATAAATAAAGTAAGGAATGTATTTATATTTTATTACACCAGGCACTCTGGCGCCACTTTCTAGAATATTCTCAAGCTTT